ATAATTAAAATATTTATAATGAAAAATAAAAATAAACGTTCAACAATGGAATAATAATTAAATATTATAGGTCCATATGATAGAATATTATTCATCAAAAGTGATGTTGCACATGAATACTTGTTGAAATGGAAGATGTTTATGATACATTCAGTGAAAAAACAAAGCTCAAAATAGTATGATCTTGTTTTAATTTAAAAATGATTCTCTATACCTACATATCTATCTATCATTTATCTTTTTACCTACCTACCTATGCACCTATCTGAAAAAAATTGGAACAGTATTTATCATGATGTTAATTAGCACTGGTTGGTATTTTTTTCATTTTCTCTACTCTACATTGCATATTATAGTGTATATTGCTTATTTTTTGTTTAAAATAGCAAATATTGAAAAAAAACAAGTATTGCTTTTGCAATACAAAAAGTAAATGTTATTTTAAGGTAAAAGTATGCATATATTTTCCCTTTTGTTTAAAGTATGATGAAGGTTTAATATTCCTTTCATAAAATGACTCTTGCAAGTCAATCAGAAAAATGAACAACAGCAGAAAACCGGGCTATAGATGATTTCCAAAATAAAAACCATAAATGACCTAGGAGCAAGAAAAATTCAACCTCACTAGTAATTTTAAAAATAAAATCAAAATGAGATAATCTTTTTCTATCACCAAATAGACAAGTCTTCTAAAAATTAGAGAATTCTCTGTGACAGCAAATGTTTAGGGCTATGAGATCACTTGTACAATGCAGACAGGAACAATATTTCTAGATAATATGATAATACATAACAGAAGCCTTAATGCTATGCATGCCATTTGGCCTAGACATTCCCTTTCTCAGAATTTCCATGAAGAGTTAATTATGGACATGTGCAAATGAGGATGACCATTACAATATTGTTCATAATAGTGAAAATTAGAAAAAACTCAAATGTTCAAAACTAAATTCACTACATTATGGTATAGCCATAAATTGGAGTATCATTCAGAAATTAAATTGGACTTTTAGAAGAATAGTTAAGGACATGGAACAGTTTATAGAATACTGCGATGTGGAAAGAAGTGTTCTTTTTCTGCTTTATCACAAACCAAGGGAATGTGTTCTTTTGGTGCCACATGGAACGCTCTGGTGCTCTTGTCACATTTGATATTGAACCACCCAAAATGGCTTGTTGGTGCCTGTCCCAGCACCTGGTAACAATGGTACTGTGTTTCTCTCACCTCTCCTGGTGAATTTATACAGTGATTTTACAGTGGGAAGGATCTATATTTAACAAAGAAAATGGTACTGGTAAGTAATGGGTCTGTTCCTGAGATACAGAACCTTACTGTGACTGTGGAGGAAATAACCTTACATAACTTGAAAATGTACTTAGAACCAACAAGAACAAAAAATAAACATGCCTTTTTTTTTTTTTTTTTTTTTTTACCTTTTTGGTTAAATCTGCAGCTCCAGAATATTCTTCCGTTGTTTGCTGTTCAAGATTTAGAGAGGAAGTTAACAGCATAAGGGGTATAGTGTGTGCTTTGATGCAAGTCACATGGAGATTACAAACCCCCTCCACAGAGCCATCTAGATTCCCTTGTGCTGTCTATACTCATCGGAAGCATCACAGTACGGTGACTGCGAGCTCAGCCTCTTTTGGTCACGAACTAGGCTCTATTGCTCAGTGTGCTTGGGTCACTTACACAATCTCCCTTTGCCTGTGTCTTCACCTAAAAATGGGCATAGCGATAGTACTGACATCACAGGGATATTGTACAATTACAATTAATCTGTTTAGAGGCCTCAGAATATATACAGTAAACAGTCAATACTGGCTGATAGTATTATTTTTCTTCCTCCCATATTATAATGGGATTTCTGCTTGTTTTAGTTTTCAGTTACTCTAAGTATTTAATAAGATTGAGTGGTTTCCATAATATTGACTGGCTTACTCAATTTCCTGCTATCTTTATGATTTATTTGCTTTGTGATCTTGATTATCAGAGCCTAAAAAACACACAGAGAATCCATGAGGCTCTGGAAGCCGTGAGGAAGAGCCTGGAAAGGTAAAGGGCAGTTTTTCAGCTGTAGGAAGAAAACCAGAGGCGATCAAACTGGCAGATGGTAGAAAGGCTACGGACACGTGGCTGTGAGGGGCAGCATGATTCCTGCAGCACAAGCCACGTGTCTTTTTTATATATATAATAAAACTTTCACAGCTGGGGAAACCTAAAGACATTTTAGAAGTTTGCAGAGCCTCTATGACACACACGTGTGAACCACGTACAGTATGCCATGGATATCGACACGAAAGATCCACGTGGGATCCTGGCCCTCTCTCGCTTTTCTGCTCTGTTGGCCTCTCAGCCTTTTGTCTTGGGCACACGCTGCAACCTTATTCTCCAACGAGCCCTTTGCATGACTGTCTTAATTGTGGACTTACAATCAAGACTTTTCACCTAAAGCACCTCTCTGGGTCTCAGTCCTAAATTGTGACTTTTCTCTGGATGAATGGGAACTGTGAATAAGCATGTCCTCATATTGTCGAAGCCATGGAATCTGCTGGGGCCCGAAATGGAAGGAAGGTTGTGATAGAGTCTGAGTATAATGGGCCGTTGACTTAAGAGCAAAAGGATAGGAGCAGGAGGGTTTTAGAAAGTGAAATGGATTGAATGTCAGGGGGCAAGGGGAAGGCAAAGTCCTGAATAATCCCTATGTTTTTGTCTTGGTTGCCTGGAGGGGCTAGGAACAAGAAATGGCAGGTTTTCAAGCAAAGATGAGGTGTTGTCGCATGAAGGCCCATTTGGAGATTTCAGGTGGATTCTTCGAGCAGACGGTTGAAAATCTGCTTTTAGGAATTCAGACCATTTCTCCATTGTCCTAACCACCAATTACTTTGAATTAAAGTAAGTTGGTCTACAGTAGATTGTAATTTTCCCTTCCCTGTTTATTTGCTTTTCAGGAGAATTTGGGTTCATGCCATTTCAGAAATAAATTCATATTATTCACGTTGACCTTAGAAAAAGATATACCATGTGGAGGTCCTTTGAAAAACAGTGCACCAGGGACCTGAGTTCCAGAGAGGTTTTTTTGTTTTTTCTTTTTTAAGAATCAAAATGTAACAAGATTGGGTTAATAGCCCTGCAAAAAGTCAACAAACAACACTATATTAACTCTACTGCGCATGGAATTGGTTTCTAGCAGTAGAAAACGTCAGAATGCACAAAAACATCAAGCTTTAAATAACTCGGAGCCACAAGACCAACTTGTGACATCTCGTAAACTGTGGATTAAGAGATTTAATAGACTGTGGCAATAAATTAATGGATGACAAATTTGATATGCGTAGCGTCAGAAGCAAGTATAGAAGAAAATGGTATTACTCTGCAAAGATTATATGTACATAGCAGTCTACATGTTACTCTAAAAGTTATGTCCTCTTTGTATATATGAGGTAAAAAGAAAAAAAAATAGTTACATAACCAAAAAAGGACAAAAAGTCCTGGAAAGGGAAAGAGATAAAATTAAAGCAAAGGAAAAGATACCAATAAAAATTTCAAAGAAAAAAAAAATCAGACAGTAACATTTTTTTTCCCCCAGAAAACCTGTAGGAATAAAAGAAGCAGATTAAATTTATGACAAGCGCACACGAAGGAAAATCTTCCACAGGAGAAGCAGCACCAAGACAGGGAAGGAAACTGGAATCACAGTAAGAACATAGCCTTACTGATTCCTCATTTTATTTCTTCGAAGCCCCCCTATCTGTAAGGTATAAGCACAACTCTGTAGAATGCAAACAAATATAAAATTATGCATAAATGTGTGTTTTTAAAAATCAATTAAAAAAAAAAAAAACTAGACCCCAGCACCCGTCTTCAGGTGGGGAGACAATGCATGGTTTTCCCTTCGCAGCGCTGCACCGTCCCTGCAGGTCTCCGGAAAGTCACAGGCTCTCACCACGGCCAGGAGGTAACTGAAACACGAAGCTCTGGATCCGACGCCGACGCCGCAGTTGCAGTTCGGGGACCCAGGGGCGTGGCATTCTTGGCGGAACCGCACCCTCCGTCTGCCTTTCCGAGCTTGACTTTGGGTGGGTGGGTGGGTCCCGGGTGGGTCCCCGGGGCGGTCTGCGCCGCCTGTGCCGTCGTGGGGACACCAGGGGCTGCGAGCTCGCGTGTCTGCTAACTTGGCTTCCCATCTGGGGCCCCAGGGGTGGGGGGAAGTAGTGGGGGGATGGGGGACGGGATGGGGGTGGAAGGGTAGGAATGGGGGGTGGAGGGATGGGGGTGGTGGAGGGGTAGGGCTGTGCGGGTGGGGGTGGTGGGGTTGTAGGGGTGGTGTCGGGGGATGCAGGGGTGGGGGGCAGGGATGTGGGGGTGGAGGGATGGGATGGGGTGGGGGAATATGGGGTGTGGATGCGGGGTGAAGGCAGGGTGGGTGGGTAGGGTGGTGTCGGGAATGTGGGGTGGCGGATAGGGATGTGGGGGTGGAGAAGAGTGATGGGGATGGGGTGGGGGAATATGGGGGTGGTGGTGGGATGTGGGGATGGGTGGGGGGATATAGGGGTGGTGTTGGGAGATCCGGGGGTGGGGGATAGGGATGTGGGGGTAGAGGGGAGTGATGGGGATGAGGTGGGGTGGTGAATATGGGGGTGGTGGTGGGATGTGGGGATGGAGAGCTAGGGATGTGGAGGTGGGGGTGGGATGTGGGGGTGGAGGGCTAGGGATGTGGAGGTGGGGGTGGGATGTGGGGGTGGAGGGCTAGGGATGTGGAGGTGGGGTTGTAGGGGTGGTGTTGGGGGATGCAGGGGCGGGGGATAGGGATGTGGGGGTGGGGGGTGGAATATGGGGGTGGAGGGCGAGGGATGTGGGGGTGGAGTGATGGGGATGGGGTGGAGGGGTGGGGCTGTGGGGTGCAGGGCTGTGGGGGTGGTGTTGGGGGATGCGGGGGTGGGGGACAGGGCTGTGGGGCTCTGCGAGTTTCTGCGCTTCCCCCCCCGCCCCCCCGGCCTCAGGCGCTCCCCTCGGCGTCCTCGGCGCCCCCGGCCCCCGCGCCCCCCTCGGCCCCGGCCTCGGCCCCCCGGGCCCGGTCCGCGGCGTCGGCCCCGTCGCACATGCGCTGCAGGATGCGGTGGATGCCGGGGAAGCCGGGCCTGTCGGCGGGCAGCGGGCTCCAGCACAGGCGCATGAGGTTGTAGAGCTCGAGCGGGCAGCGGGCGGGCCGGGCCAGGGTGCGGCCGGCGCGCACGTAGCGGATGACCTCCTCGTGCGCCAGGCCGTAGTAGGGCTGCAGGCCGTAGGAGAAGATCTCCCAGAGCACCACGCCGTAGGCCCACACGTCCGACTCGGTGGTGTAGCGGTTGTAGAAGATGGACTCGGGGGGCATCCAGCGGATGGGGATGGCGTCGTTCTCGTTGGCCTTGTAGTAGTCGGCCGAGTAGATGTTCCTGGACAGGCCGAAGTCGGCGATCTTGACCACCATGCCGTCGCCCACCAGGCAGTTGCGCGTGGCCAGGTCGCGGTGCACGAACTTGCGCTCGGCCAGGTAGGCCATGCCGGCCGCCACCTGCCGCGCGATGCCCAGCTGCTGCGCGCACGACAGCGGCGGCGGCGGCGGCGGCGGCGGGGGGCGGCCCGGGGCGGGCGGGGGCCCGGGGCTGCGCGGCGCCGCGTGCGGGGACCGGCTGCGGAGGAACTCGTTGAGGTCGCCGTAGGCCATGTACTCGAAGAGCAGGCACATGGGCTTCCCGACGGCGCACACGCCTGCAACCCGAGAGAGCACGGCCTCGTTGGGGGGGGGGGGCCCTCCGGCCCGAGCCCCCGACGGCACCTGGCCAGGTCAGGAACCCCCACCCGGGCGCCCGGATTTCTGCTGACAGCATCACAGCCCGGCCCTCACCCCGTTTGACCCGGGGTGGGTGGGTGGGGGGACGTCTCCCACTCGCCTCTCACCCCTCCTGTGCGTGGAAGGCCTGCGCTCCCCACCACCCACCGCCTTTCCCGCCTCTCCGTGGCCTGCCACCTGCCAGCCTGTGACAACCGTCCCTGCAACCTGTTAGCTCTTTGAAAGCAGAAATCGCGTCTTATTCTTTTGTAAATCCCCTCCCCTCCCCTCTCCCAGGTGTCTGGCACTGGCCAGCGCTCAGGAAAGGTTTGGGGAGCGATCTAGGGAATGGGGGTGGGGGGGCTGCCTTGAGCCTGCGATGCTCTGGGTTTCTGCTACTTCTGCAGAGAAGGGTGATAAGGAAAATGCGGTCTGAAACTCGGAAAGCACGACCAACAATCCGGGATCTTAGGTGAAGCACTCGGTAAAACATTGCAAAATTTAGGATTTACAACGTTGGTTCCAGAAAGACAAAAAAAATAAAAATAAAATAAAAATTATAGAATAGAGCCTCAGATTTAGTGCCAGGAGGACATCCAGGCGCGAGAATCTTAAATTCTTGCTATTTGCAAATCTTAGATTGTTGCTATCTTCGAGAGGGAAGTGGGATACCTTGAAAGATTAGATCGTTTGGGCACAATTTCACGGTGCTGGGAAAATAGATGATCAGATTTGTTATCGTTGTTTCAGGCAAAAATTAGAAGTCTCGGTTCAAAAAGGAAGAGAAATAGTGAATGCTAATTATCTTGGCCTATTGATCTGGGGGCTGGTTTGTTTTTGTTTTTGTTTTTTTATTTTTAAATTTATTTTTTATTGGTGTTCAATTTGCCAACATATAGAATAACACCCAGTGCTCATCGCATCAAGTGTGCGGGTCCGTTTTTAATTCCAGGGATTTGGCAATCAGTGTATGTATAGATGCTAGAGAGAAGATTAAAGAAATGACAGCATATTTTTCTGAGAAGTTTTTAAAAAAACAAATTTTTGAATTGAGCTTATTTCATGCAGTGTTCCACTCCCCGGTGCAGAAAATATTACATGGGAAGGAACAGAGGTCTCTTTCTGATGAAGAAGTGAAGGGAAAAAGCACAAGAGCGGGAGGAAGGAGGGAAACTTGGAAAGACTCTGTTTTGGGGATGCAATACACTTTGCCACCTCTAGTTCCATACCTAAGAGTTTCACAATGTTGGGGTTATCAAATTCTGCCATGAGGGCTGCCTCCCTTTGGAAGTCAGCTTGCATGTCTGCTGAGGCTTCTTCTTTGAGCATCTTCACTGCCACCATGGTGAAAGGTTCATAGGGAAGTAAGCCCGGAGCCCTAGAGATACATTTATTTAGAAAGAAATCAAAGATCAAGAACATCATACGTACCCACATGAATCTACCCACATCCATACACATTCCCTGCACTAGTGCAGCCTTTCCCAAAGCCACGGAATCAAAGAAAGATACCAATAGTAGATTGTACTTAAAACTCCTTGATTCCAGTGAATCAAAATCAGTGGGGCTATTTTCAACACAGATGGTTTTAAAAATGCATTCTTCGTACATTTCAGGAATTCTAAAGTACACAGACCCAATGAGATGGTCATTACTGTCCTAAACCCTTAATCTCTGGCCAGAATCTAAATTCCTCGAAGGCAGGGACCATGGCTTACTCATCTTTATTTCCTTCTGAAGCCTAAAATGATGCCTTGCATATATTTATTTGGTTCCCCAGAAATATTTGTGTAGGATTTTCATTAATCATGTAACCTCCATACCAGGGCCACTACGAGTGGTGGTAAGGTTGTGTCCTGCCCAAGAACACCAGGACAACGTGACGGTTGGTGATTAAAAACCAAGTCCATGTTCTCTGGCCCAGCTGTGTGTCTGTGAGCCACATCCATGCAGAAAGGGTATTTCCTTCCACTTCACACAGAGGAAATAAACAGGCTAGCATTGGCCCTTATATGACTCTTTCCCTGAGCTCCTTGTTCTCTGGCATTTTTGTGTTATTTTCCCCCCATTTCTGTTTTGCCGTTCTGTGGACATCTATTTCATATATCTACACATGTCAGGCTCTGAATTCTTCAGTAGAAATACTAGTTCAAAGTAAATTTTAAACAAAGTGGAGAATATAGCATAGAAAAGGGAAGAGAAGTAAAATTTACAATTATTTGCCAAAAACAAAGCAAGAAATTATGATTAAAATGTATGATAAAATTATTTTCTGAAAAAGGAATCTTCTTAAACTTTGCTAATCGCATGTAGTTTGAACACTACACAAACGAAGATTCTCTCCTTCTACCCAGCCCTATTTTTCATCAGGGAGGAAAAATTATTAAGATTCAAAGTATAGTGGTCAGTAAACTGGGGTTAATGATGTGAAGAATTATTTGATAATAATTATCATACATACAGCATAGGCATCAAGGTAGTGGTCTGGTAACTATTTCGGTGGAAAGATTTTTCACATGGGTAACTTTACCTTGCTTGAAAGACCCTTCCAAATGCTCCCTCTCCAATATCTCTCACGTATTCGATGTTATTCCTCGGGTACTCCAGGCTGAGCAATTTGGGATTCAGAAGGAGTGGCATCCTCTGGTACATGGGGTTGGGATGAAGTCTGTCTAGCAAGAGCTCAGAAGGAAGAGTAGTGAGGGTTACTGCTGCCGATTCTCTGTAGGTAAGACAGGGAACACCAATCAGGTGGGATCTTTGTACTCAGGCTTGGGTTTTACAGGGATACGATGTTAGGAGGAAACAAAACAAATTATTCTAAGGCAGCCAAAGACCCTTCAGTTTTAGAGCAAGAGATATTTCGTTTGATCTGGGAATCAAAAGTCACCTTTTCTTAGGAATTGTGTTCCTATCCAATCTAGCATGGCAGTAGGACCAAAAGGTGGGGGCAGCTGGGAACAGGGATAGCCATATTCTTCCAAATTACTGTTTAGATGTTATCTGCTGTGAAAAATTAACTTTAGGACATGTGATCCAGGCAAAAAGTTATTGATATTTTTAAAGATCGTGGTGGGGCACTTAATCTTAAAGCATGGTAACCGATGTCATAAAGAGATGAGCAGTGTTCTAAAAATTCCTCCTCCTGTCCCCAATATTCAATTTGTAGGTTTTAAAATGCTACTTACTACATGTGGTCAGCTTAAATGAGAATCTCACCTTTTCTTATTTTTCCATTGTTTTCGTCTTCGGCAGCAATAAAAAGTAGTTACAGTAAGAAGCACAAATATAGCAGAGCTGGACATGATGGAGATTATTACAGTCATGGAGTACGTAGGCGAGACAGAGAAGGAGGAGGAAGAAGAGGAAGGCAAGTCTGGAATGTCCACACTCGGCTTTGAGGACGTCATGGGTGGGAATGCTGTAAGTAAACCAGAGTTCTTTTCATTCATTCTTAAACTTTCAAGAAGCAATCTTTGCATTCAAGCAATCTTCGCTGAACTCAAGCAAATTTAGTCAACTGAATTTAATTTTAAGAATATGGTTTCATGTGTCAGGTTCTCCCTGGCTGTATATCTGTAAAGTCCAAGTGTAAGAACCCAGAGATCCAGTTGTAAGTAAAAGCAACTTACAGAAGTTTAAGGATGAGGCCCAGAGAAAGGAACTACTCCTTTCCAAGACAAATGCAGACCCTGGGCTAGTGATCTTTACACTGTATCATGTTGTTTATGACCTGACAACAGGTACAGACATTATGAAGTTATTAAATAATTTCATGAAATTGTATTTGGAGTCAGGATTGCCTAAAACTGAGCTTTTTACACATTTACTGTTGATTTACAAACAAAACAAAAATAATAGAAAAGATGAAGAGTGGAAATATTAGGACACAAATGAGAAGTTGGTTCATCTAAAAATTGAACCCCTGAGGTGCCTAGGTGACTCAGTGGTTGAGCGTCTGCCTTTGGCTCAGGTCGTGATCCCGGGGTCCTGGGATTGAATTCCACATCGGGCTCCCCACGGGGAGCCTGCTTCTCCCTCTGCCTGCGTCTCTGCCTCGCTCTCTCTTTGTCTCTCATGAAGAGATAGATAAAATCTTTAAAAAAAACAAAAATAAAGTAAAAATAAAAATTGAACTCCTGCCAAAGTCCTATTAAAAAGGTCACTGCAATATGAAAACAAGGTAAAATCTTCATTACCCTGGAAACCAAAAGATGCCATGTTCATATCACTCTGTAGAGTGCACAGTCCACTGTATACCTATTAAAACAACCTTATTAATTTATATTTTATATTCTTTTAATTGACTGAGTAAAGACAAAAGCATGGATACAGAGTACCTTGATAATATAATTGACAAGAATGTTCTAATAGCAGACAGTGTACTTTGAACCCTACACAGAGGGAATAAACCCTGTTTTCAAATATTTGTGGAATATTGGCAGACACGATCTTTTGTCACAGCATGGAAGTAAATCTCTAATTTCAAAAGCAGAAATTACACTGATTTATTCTTTGACTAAAATGCAATTAACAATAGACTAAGTAAAATCCAACAGGACATCAAAAAAAAGAAAAAATTCAATAACTTTTCACTCAAAGAGTAAAAAGTGACAGATTAGAAAACGACCTCCTGATACTGATAGAGTATATGAACTTTGGCCAAAGCCGTGCTCAGTGGTAAACTCATAGAATTATCTCTTTTCATTAGATAAAAAGGATGAAAGTGAATGAGCTAGACATTTAACTCAAGACTTCGAAAAAGAAACAAAACTACAGAGAACAGAAAAATAGATGAGAAAGTAACAGCCATGTACAAGCAGAAATTAATAAGTTAGAATTACACATACCACAAATGCTAGATTTTAAAAATAGGTCAATAGTTGGTCTTATATTTATAAAGTGGTCTAATCAGTGGAATTTTAATTTTTAAAAGACAAGAAAGGCACAAACATACGAAATTAGGAATGGTAAAGGAGTTACGACAGTAGATCGAAATAAAAATGCAGTAACGTAATTATGCAGTTACATTTTTTTTAATCTTTAGAAAAATGATAGGACCGTATTACCAAATTTGAAAAATCAGAAAATCTGAAGGTAGTCAACCAGGAAATGTAAAAGTCACTCTTACAGAATTATGGATACATTCTTTTGGTCTTGAGAAGAGATAAAATTTCCAGATTTTATAAAATGTTCCAATATGAGAAAAACCTACCAAACTATTTTAGAAAGTTATAATGTTAGTAACACAACCTGGCAATATTAGCACAAAAGAAAAGTGCATACCTAGTTAAGGAACGTAGGTTTCAAAAATCCTATATGAAATGTTAGCAATTGGCTACAACACAGTAAAAGAATTATGTGGTTGATATAAGGAAGTATATTTAAAAAAAGGGAAATATATGAATAGTAACAGATCACAAAGTCAAAAGAAAACTTGTATTGCAGTAGATGCCTAAAACTATTTGAAATAGGACACTTGTAAAAGCAGACATTTCAGGGGGTGCCCATATATGACTTCTTAATGTAGGGGTGGACACAGTTTCTGTGGCCTGAGCACCAGTGGGTAGCACGTGGTTTCAGAGCCCGTGGAGACCAAGTTTGGTCACTGCTGTGGCAGGAAGACCATCAGCTCAGGCACTGAAACTGGAAGAAAAGCACAGCAGTGCCTTCATACAGGAGTAATAATAGCACATCTCATCAGGTATCACAGCAACGGTGGACTTTGACTTCCCAGGTTCCTTTACGTTTGGCTTGAAAGCCCTAACAGACTTTCTTTGGACTGAGTCATCTGAATGTTTTTTTTTTTTAATCAATCCAAGATGGGTGGGGTGGGGGGCTTAAATTGGAAAGCTGAACTTCCTGCTTATAATAAAATAGGAGCAATCATTGAAAGACAGGAATAGGTGACTGTTTTTATATCTGGATTTTGCAGGGCAGTTCAAACCATATTTACCTGTGAGGGAATATAATGTAATTTGTGAAATTGGTAGTATAATCTCATTAGTAAATATAAGGGTAATATTTTAATCAAAAATATCAGACCTGGGGCACCTGGGTGACTCAGTCGGTTAAGTTTCTGACTCAAGATTGCGGCTCAGGTCATGAGATTGAGCCCCGTGTTGGGCTCCATGCTCAGTGGGAGGTCTGCTTGGGATTCTCTCTCTCTCTCTCCCTCTCCGTCTCTGCCCCCTCCCCAAAACAAATAAATCTTTTTTAAAAAAAAAATCAGACATATTTAGAGAATAATCCATGATGACTTAGTAAGATTTATTTTCAAAATGCAAAAAAATTGGCATTGTTTGAATAATAATTTTGCTTTATGAATTTAATGATATCTTCCTTTCTGGATAGCTTTGTTATTCCTTGTTTATTGCTTCTGATCTGTTTGCTGTGGCCTTCCCTAGAGCGACATCGGCTATCTCTTTAAACTCAAATGATCAATCTGGATCTCCTTCTTTTTGTCTTTTTCTTCTGTCATCAGTTTTATCTCTACCCTTTCCATTTGATTGCCTGGGGAATTTTTATTCACTCATTCATCCATACATTAACATATTCGTTAAGTTCATATTGGTGTTGGGCATCAGGGATACTGTGGTAGACATGACAAGTCTTTGTGTTAAAGTATTTAGCTGGGAAACAATTAGGAAGCCCATAATTATCATAGAATGTAAGAAGTGTTAGAAGATTGATATGCTTGTGAACATTCTGGGGCCCGAGTCAAGGCTTACTAGGTAGGTTTTTAGAGTAAGTAATTTTAAGTTAAATGTAAGGGATGAGTCGGGAATAACCAGTTGAAGGTGTAAGTGTGTGGGTGGAGTGGGAGTTTGGGGGTGGGAAGGGAGGTAGTATTTCACAAAGAAGGACCAGCGTTTATCAGGGTCCAACCCAAGCAGTTGTAGTGCTTTCCTAAAAGTGCAACTACAGGTTTCAGTGCTGACTTGGGGAGTGTGTATAGACAAGGCTGCAGATATCAGGCCTGGGTCATAAAAGGCCTTACATGCCACGGGAGGTAATTTGGACTTTGCCCTGCAGTGAATGCAGAGAATCATCGGATGGATTAGCGTCATTGGAGTAGCAGGATCTGCTTTTTGCTTTAGAAAGATCGTCTGCCTGCAGCCTGCATCCACGACTGATTTCAAAGTCTTGAATGCAGAGTTGGAAATGACTTCCACGACTGATTTCAAAGTCTTGAATGCAGAGTTGGAAATAGGTGTTCAGTAACACACCATTTTATAGGATTTCCACCATGCAGGTGACAGGGATATAAAGAGAAAAACCTCAGTTTCTTTCTAAACAGAAGTCACGAATTGCTTATAGGAGAAAGCAATCCGGCTTATACTAGATGACCAGTCATTTTCAAAACTAGAAGCTAGAAAAGAGTGAAGTCACATCTATAGATTCCTCAAAGAGGAGAAATGTCTTTCAAGAATGTATCCAGCTAACAGAGCTTTCAACTATACAGGTGAAAGAAAGCTAATCTGAAGATCTGGGATACAGAGACTGTGTCACCCACAAACACATCTGAGGACAAGCATAAAGTGTATACAGCCCTACTGAATTCAGGAATAGTGAAATGCCTGCTAAAGAGACAAATAGCATGAAGGCATTACAAGCTCAAAAAGATATTTCACTTCAAAAAAAGTTATAAAAGTTAAAACTACTGAAATTCTACTGTGTATGTTCAAGCAAAAAAAGAAAAAAAAAAATCTTCCATCACCCTTCAAAGCGAACTGGTAATATCTTTTAGAGTTTACTCAGAAATCAAGAAACTCTTTAGGAAATACTTGAGGGCTTTATATACACTCCTTGCCTCCTTTGCTTAATATATTAGCCTATCTGAAAAACTCAAGCCAATTTCTTCAATAATAATTGCATTTAACCAGGGAGCACACTTTAAGGCATTCCCCATGACATGGTCAGGTGCAATGATCCGTTGACGACATTTGCTGTTCATTTTCTTACAGGTACCAAAGATTGCATAAAACTAGGTTTTTGAGGGCAGGAAACTGGCTTATTGTAGCTGATTTATGCTGCTCACATGTTTTAGAATCAGTATACAAGGCAGAAATTGGTGTGTGTGTGTTTGTGTGTGTGTGTTCCTGTTCCTGTCTAATGTAGGACTGACGTTCAGCACCTTCTCCACAGGAGACCCCCCAGTGAATGCTTGAATGGATGAATGAGTAAACAATCAAAGGATAACAAAGACCACAGTCACCAGTTAGAAGTCCAATCAAACTAAACTTTAGCTGCTTATATGACAAAGAATTGAACCATTTCTTTTCCATTCCTTCAATTTGGAAATAACAATTTGACAGGCTTCCGAAATAATAGATTTTTAGGGTTTCCATACCTCTCTGTTTATTAACACTGAGCCATTCAAGTGGGACCAGTAGCATTCTTTCTTTTTAATACTGTAAGTCTTAGTCTTTGAAGGAAGCTGGTAAAATCAAGACCTGGCTCTTATCCAGGTGCTGAGGCAATTAGGCCCGTAAGAAAGATCTCAAGAAATGATTATGATTTAAGCCTTAGAACACTCAAATCAGAGGAAGTTAATTGAAATGAAAGGTTTCCTAATTTCATTCTGAATTTCTCCATTCTGGTAGGTTAAAGCATCATCTGATCCAACTTTGTGTCTAGGATGTCTCTTTGGGAGCAACCTTCTTGAATTCTTTTCTAGGGATTTTGAGGCACCTGCTTATAAAACCGTTTGATTTGACCCTGTAAACTTTCTACTGGAAATTAGCTATCTTAAAAGCACCCATCTTCCAAAAGAAAGATCTGTTGTCACAAGTGAAGATCACAAATTGGCTCAATGAAGAAATAAAATTTGTTTTCATCTGTAAATAATTAGATGATATAAAAACAAAAAATGTGAAATCAAAAGGGGACATTTTCAGTTTGGCTGATTTTGTAGCCATGAAAACAACTTATAACCTTGGGATAATGGATATTTGTTTCGTTCAGTAAATATGGTGCTCTTCATGGCCTAATTAGAAGCTGTAAGCTGAGATCTCTGATGATCTTCCTCACGTTTTACGCCAGTAAGCATAGCAAAAAACCTTTGAGTGGGGCCGTACATTCTGTTCTGGACATCATGAAGTAGGAGTGTAAATATGCATGCACGAATCCAATTACATACACATAAGGGTTGAAGGGCACAAACAAAATTACTTACTTGTTAAGTTTTCTTTTTTATAATCTGAGGGGGAAAGGATAAAAATTTGTTTTAAATGAGCATCCAGATACCTCACGTATTCTGTGAGAGAGTGCTAAGAAATGCAAGTTCTCTTTCAGTTTTTCAATATACAACCGGAAAACATTCTTTGCATTCGAATGAGAAAGGATTGTGTCATTGAAGTTAAACCAGCTGTTAGGGCTAACAACATAGTTCCTTACAAATGAAGTTCATTAAACAACATACAGCAACTCAGCTTTGTTTTGTGAGATCAGCATTTTCAACCATGTGGCTTATTTTTGCATGCTTGGAAATCTGCTTTGTTGGCTAAGAAGGGGGACTTTATTCTTTTATTCCACTCATCTGACATAATAGGAGGTTTCTTAGCCAGTTCTCTGCACATTCCAAAAGATGTTACAAGCTCTCATCAGATCCCCTTGTGAAATAAGATCTTAAGCAGCAGTTAAAAGTGCTCCTTAATTTCTTTTTGAACAAATGAAATTAAACCCTAATGCTAATTTGTGCAATTAGGATAGGTGGTAGGATTCTGTGATTAGGTATCTAAAAAGGGCAGAACGCAAAAAAATAATTTAGAAATGCCTAGAAATATTAGGAGATTTAAGTTCACAACTTAGTTTCTTCAAAATAGTATATTTGTTTTAACCTCTGAAGTCTTGAGAGAACTCTGTTACCTAAATATGGCAGTCTGGTGCAGGCTGTGGGGTCCCAGTGCATGCTGGGGAGCTTGTTGCATTCTGGCACGGAGAGCAGGTGCATCCCAGATCGGTAGAGTCCTCTGTGAGTCTTTTCTTCCATTGCCAGCCATTCTTTTGCACAGAAAAGCTCCTTTACTGCCAAGCAGTACTCTCTAAAATATTTTATGGAGAACGAAACTTGATGAATCATAGCATATTAAGGCCAAATTTGTGGCAGAGCCTAGATTCTGTATTTTCAAAACATCATTAGAGTACATTGTCTGTTCTTGCAAAAGTGTTTTTTGAAAGGACCCTTTTATTGTAAATAACGTGAGACTTTATGAAATATAGCATATTATCCCTGAGATGAAATGCTATCGTGTTTTGTTTTGAAAGCCTAGTTCATGTTCCTGGGGGAAAAGAATTTTGAAGTTCAAAAAGTAACAGATTAGGCATCCCTAGTATGCATTATCTCAAATTCATGTTAAAATAAATCAGAGGGACAGAAACAAGGTATATAGAGTTTAAGAAACACACATAATAAAAGTCATAGATCATCATCAATCAGTTTCCAGCCTGAGAGATTTCCCTATAATCTCAAGGCTACTGGGCAAAGGACTGAAGGGCACAGTTGGTGCCTCTCCATGCGTTGTCCACCAAAACAGAAGAGCGCCACCTTTCTGGCAGGTTACAGGAGGGCTTTTGGGTCCTTACCCACCTAAGCCTTGGGGAAGCTGCCGCTATCCCATTATTGTGTGTGCTTCCATCTGAAAAAGCCAGAGTAATTTAATCTATTTAAATATGAAATGTTATGTTCATCCATGTGTTTTATTATGAGTGAAGAGGCTGAAGAAAGACTAGTTGGACCAATTAGAATTTTGTGTATATTTTTTGTATATTTTGTTTAAGCTCATCCTATAGAAAATAGGATAGACTACATCGGAGAAACCTGGTTAACTCCAAATTAAGATGTTTGGGATTAAAAATAAAAGGAAAGATTATTAAAGAAATTAGAGTTACTAACAATATTGCCCCTTCAGTATCTACAGGATCCAGAGAGGAGGAAATTATGTGTGTGTGTGTGTGTATATATGTGTGTGTGTGTATACATATACATATATATGTCACAATGGTGTCTTTTTAAAATACTCATGCCTACACTACCACTTTTCTGGGCAACCACCTGTCAATGTGCACCAACTGAACATGTGTGGAATGAGAGGGCCGTGCATATGAATGTGATGGGATACAATGAGGTCCTGGGAACAACAATAGGATTTAGAATTCTTGATGTGTCTGTAATGGAAAGGAGAGCGATGGGGCTTTCCAGGCTTCTGAGAACTTGAAGAACCAGAGGAGCATTGCTTAGTTTGCTGCTTCTTATGCTGGGTCCCACCCATGAGTCACACAAACACAGCTTTCTGCATTCAGACAGCACTGTTAAACTGGGCAAAAATAATTTGTGGCAGGTGAAAAAAATTCTGTAGCCCACATTACGTGGAGGAAGCCAATATCCTGGAGAGTTATTTTTTTTGCTCTAAACAGAAGAACACATTAGAAAAATTTTTATTTGTTTTGCTTTGTTTCATTGACATGTATTAAAGATGACCTCTATAGAAGAGTTTTTCACAAGGAAAAAAAATAAGGATGAAATGGAAAATAAACTGAAGACTAAGTTAACTTGAACATAGTAGTAACCGAAGAAAATAAAGACCACAAAGAAGTGAAAGTGACACCAAACGACTTAAAATTGTCATTAAAATTTGTAAGGAAATGGCACCGCAAGACATTGGACAAATAACAGAGGAGAATTTGGCAAGTCTGAACTGAATGCAGAGAGAAAGAAGGAACAGTGAAACTATTGTGTGAGGAGACAGCTGAGGAGGAAGAGCCAGCAAGAAATCCAGAGTACAGATAATGTTTCCCAATAAGAAAACTAGAACATGTAAAAAAAAAAAATAGAAAATACTCAAAGATATACTAAAAGAAAACGTTCTTAGGACAGATAGGATGTAAACCTGATCATTAAGGCACATTATATTATTGATAAGAAAGAAAATAATTAAAATAGAATTACTCCCAGATGAATTTCACAAATATTTGAATCTCAAAGCTTAAAAAATAATCCCCCTACCATTTGGCAAGAGAAAAATATTTCCTATAAAGGAACAAGATTCGGGATTGCTCTATATGTTCTTCATGGCAACACAGCCAAAAAACAATTAAGAGTGCATAAGATTTTGAGGAAAACTGAATGTAACACAAGACTTAAATAGTTAACCCCCCCACACACACACAAAAGAAAAACACCAACACACAAGATTATGGTAAAAAGTTTTTTACATACAATTTTCTAAAAAAACTACTTACTCTAGCTGAACAAGAGATGAATTTAAGAAAAACAAAGATTTTCTATGATATGAATGAAAGTGAGCATCAAGGATACATAAGAGGTCTGTATCAGGTAGTTGTATATATGATTATGTTATCAAATATAAAAGCTAAAATAATGGTCTGAAAATTGAACATTGGCAGAGAAAACAGTTGAATAATACTAACCTGATTTACAATTCCAGATAAAATTTAAAGATCAAGTGTATTCAGTCAAATTATACTTAATTAGGCCTACCTTCAACACCATGTTTATAAAATCACAACTTATCTGCCATCCTTGGCACTCCTGATCTTCCTTAACCTAATGTTCATTTTTTCTTTTCTGATGATATAAGATACCTCCTAAGGTAATATAGAAGTTATTTATTTATTATATCTCTTGCTCATTTTCTTCTTCTGCTAGAATGTAAGCCTCATGAACAAATGCCCTAGCATAGTGCTTGGAGACCAGTAGAAGCTCAATAAATATTTGTTGAATAAAAGAAATTCTTTGTCATTCATGGAAAGTTGCACAAATTATTTAATTACTATTTATGATTAGAAAACCACGAGTGTCTGTGGAATTTAAGAAACAGGTGAAAATATGGGAGGGGGGGAAATAAAAAGAGAGTGAAACAAACCATTAGAGACTCTTTAAAAGATGGAGAACAAACTGAGGGGTGATGGAGGGAGGTGGGTGGGGGATGGGCTAGATGGGTGATGGGGATTAAGGAGGGCACTTGTGATGAGTGTTGTATGTAAATAATGAATCACAGAATTCTACTTCTGAAACCAAAAAAAAAAAAAAAAAAAAGAAGAAGAAGAAGAGAGAGAAAACCATGAATAATAAAATGCTTTTAAAAATCTCACAAAAAAACTAGAAATAACTAGAAATGCAAATTGGTTGAACACCGTTGAACCCCTTGGAAGGATAAGGCAAACAAAAGCTATTATAAAAGCCATTACCAAAATAGGAAGGAAGCATAAAATGAGAATCTCTGAAGAGCAAACTTACTAGTTATTAACAATAAGCTCAATTTTAGTTGAATGCTGTTGGTGCAAAAAGCAGAAGATGCCAGAACTGGAAGGAAGCATCCTTAGAATAAACACTTACTGTGAGAAGGTTTACTGTATCACTACCAAATTATTGAATCAAATAGATGAAACTTCCTTAGGGGCAGAAAGCATTGGACAATTTAATTACTGTTTATAGTAATATCTACATAATAAATTTGAATTTTGTAGCTTAAAAGTAGAGAGTAAGTCTTTTTTTAAGTGTCTAATTTGTTTTACAATTATATGTCAGACAAAAGAAGACCTCAATATGATATTAACGTGAAAATTTTTAGACCATATTTTCTGACTATATTTTAGACTAAAATTTTAGACTATATATTTTCAGTGTGAATGAAATGTTCAACCACAAGGATTTAAAAAAATAGAAACAATTTTCAGATAACAAGTACTATTGAAATAACAATTGGAATTAGGAAAGAAATCTCTTTAAGTATACTACCATTGACTTAAAGATTTAGGAGATGATTATACTATTCTAATAAATTTGAAATCTCATTGAAAGGGATTTTTTCCTCTAAAAAGACCAAAAGAGGTAAATTATTCTCAATCTTAAAAACATCTGTGGCTCTTGCATGTAAACTGGCCTAGGGATATACATGTTGGAAAGTTACTCAATAAATTTATTTTGTGGTAGTATACAAAGTTGCGATCAATTTTAATTCTGGTTGTTTCTCAAGAGATACTTAGATGTCCTGTGTGATAAAAATATAATCTTCTTGGGTGAAGGAACAAACAAACTATATTCCTCTTACAATTTCTCCAAACCCTCAAAATTTGCAGTGTGTTGAGGAATAGAGCATTCTGTTTTAATGACCTCACTGCCCCACAATTATATCAATATTTAAATAGTTTCTGGTTTTATCAAAACAGAGGTGGAAATGTGCTGTGCTGGTAGATTTCATGTGTTTTCTTCAGAAGAAAACAGTATCTGTCTGGTTTCTAACATATTCCACGGGAACAATTTATCCTTTAATCCTCTCTGTTTTGCAGATGAGGAAACTGAAGGTTAGCCAAGATCACATGTATCTAGAAAGCAGTACAAATAGTATTTCAACTTTGTTCTACTTGGCTCAAAAGCCAGTATGATTCCTGTCTTTCCTACATAAGAAGTAAATAAAGGCAAAATACTTCTATCAAACGTTGATTTATGAATTTCCATGTTTAAAGAGTATGGGGGTTTTAAGGAAATCACTATTTACTACCACCACCACCACTACCACTGTGAGAAAGAATGTTAGTATTTAAATTAGAACATCAGGTGGAATGTATCTTAAAATAATATGCATATTATAGAAAGTAATATTCTGAAATGCTCACCGGGGTGTCATAATCATGGGCAGATAGTGCTAAAACATTTGAAATGGGCCTTTTCTCTATTTTCGCTTACTATTGAGGTCCATGTTTGTTTAGGCCTCTTTTTTTTTTTTAAGGATTTTTTAAAAATTTTCTAGAAAGCTAGAATATTTATGAATATGAATATGATAATGCAAACAATAACAAGTAGAGTATGATAGCTTTTATGACATTTTCTAGAAGCTCAGAGCCCTCGGATTATAGGATGTCATCAGTGATTTACACGGTAGGAATTCTGTCCAATTAATTACTTTCTGTTTTGGACAAAAGCCACCTTTTGCCTTTATCGTAGCACATGACAACCTCTTTTGAAAAGCTCTTCCTGTTTGCCTTCAAGAGAATTTTCCCATCTGTTTCTTCTTTTATTTTACCTGCAAATAGGTGTAGGCGTGGGCACTACCCCAGGGTTGCAGCCTTGGAAGATGTGATTACACAGCAAAGCCTCAGCAGCCGGCCGGCAAAATGGGCTCACTGCCTTCAGTTCATTCCAGGCGGTGTGAACCAGCAGTTCTTGGGCCTCCTCAGGGTCTGCGTAGGAGTTGTTGAAGAAAACAAGAGCGTCTTTGGCCAGGACAGCATTACATACCTCCCCTCTGTACTGGGCGCAGTAGCCTTTGTTGTCTTTCTGTAGCTTACTGAAACAAGAAATGAACAGCGTTCTCCATCCCATGCTATTCCTTAGCATTCAGTCTGGCTTGTATTTTTTTTATTTTTTCGATTTCCACCTCTGTGTTGTCACAGAAATAGGAGAAGATTGTGCTATAATCTTCCCAGCTTTCCAGCTATAATTCTATCACCCTCCAGCTACTCTGGAGGGTTATTAGAAGGATCATCATATGGGATAAGGGATGTGGAAAGCTTTGAGAACAATCAAGGACTGGATAGTTTGGAGTATTCTTTTTTTTTTTTTATCATTTTACATTATAAATAGAATTTAACTATCCTTGGTTAAGCCACTTCATTTGCTCCTTACGAATGGGGCTGATGTCAGCAAGTAAAGTACATCTAAAGAACATACGCATGGTGACGATTAACAAATGACTGAGCATAACAGTCATGGTGGATGTAGTTTATTTATATGTCGTGATAGTTAAGTTCCTGAATTTTGTAGAACACATACATCTTTGCGATACCTTCCATACCCAGATTCTCTCACTCACACATCTTCCCAGCATTTCATTAAAGACTAAAGAGAAAGCCACATAGGGAGGAGGAGGCTTGGGATCAGGCTCTCAGAGGAGCAAAACAGATCTTCAGTTTTGCTGTTTTCTCATCACATGGCTTGGGGCAAGTCATCTGGTCCCTCAGAGTGCTGAGGTCCTAATTTGTTGAGTGATGTTAGTGATTAATCTCAACTCCGATTATGTGTTAATGGATACTATATGAGGAAGAAGCCTAAATTGCATGGTGCTAGCACAAAAATAAGATTAAAAGCTTATCGGCTATAGCAACTGAAGAGAATGAGAGGGAGAATGGAAAATACTGCTGGTACTCTCTGCACATATCCACTGTCCCCTAATGGAATGCTGGGAATTATAATAACTCCTATGCTCGGGGGTCCCTGGGTGGTGCAGCGGTTTGGCGCCTGCCTTTGGCCCAGGGCGCGATCCTGAAGACCCGGGATCGAATCCCACGTTGGGCTCCTGGTGCATGGAGCCTGCTTCTCTCTCTGCCTATGTCTCTGCCTCTCTCCCTCTCTCTCCCCCCCCCCCTCTGTGTGTGTGTGTGTGACTATCATAAATAAATAAAAAAAATAAAAAAAATAACTCCTATGCTCATCTGACAAATATTTATTGAGCACTAATTATGTGTAGGCACTGTGATGGTCTCAACATATTCTTATGCCTTCTATCAGATCTATATTGTTAACAATGACAAAAAACTAAGTTGTATTCTTATGCAGATTTGTACAGTTGTTGGAATTTCACATTTCATTATCTTTATATAAAGGACTTATAAAGTAAGAAAATTAAACAAATTGGAATTTGTGGGAAAGTTTTAAATTGTGAAGAGACTCCATTTAAATTCGAACAATTGATATCTGAATTAGAAACCATGACTGACCGGTGTTCAGAGCAAATCTGTTAAACAACATACAGCTCATTCCAGTCAATCCATGAACTTCCAAGAAATACCAGACTTTGAAAGGATATTTTATAATATAGAATCTTTCTCTAATTCAGACTAGCCTTTTACTGTTAGCCAAAACAGATTTTATTGTACTTCTTATAGTTTGTAGTTCATTTTTTAAAATGAAGGACTTGAATAAGAAAAAACAAAGCTCTCATGAAAACTTGGGCCAGGTAGGGTTGAGCAAACACCCAGAAAAATAGTTTTCCAGCTTCTCAGGGAAACCTGGTCTGTGATAGTATTAAGAAAGTTCAAGAGGGGCAAGAATGTTGTGCTTTAAGAAACTGAAGAATAATACCTAATAACAAGAAGTTCTTCAAACTGGTTTACTAAATGGTCTCACATATTAATATAAAAGGGGGATAGATAAAAGCAGGTAGGATTCTTTTCACTTAACACAAAAACTGCATCATGTAAGTTAAATATTTCCCCAAGTGCCTCTGAGCTGAGAATTACTCACTCAGGTTCTGCTCTCATGTATCAACCATCAACTGACTCTGTCTTTATTTTTTCATAAGTATTTTTAAAATCAAACAGCATTCATGATTGTTCCTTTAATTATACAAGCAAAAAAGAAAACCCAGAAAAGGTAGACAGAAGAAAAATTAATAAAAATAGCCTCAAAAATAAGGATTATTGACAATTAATAATCAATCCCTCTCTGTGTATGTCTACTGCCTTTCTTAATAGGAGCCCAGGAAAAATCTTTGAAACAACAATCATCTTCAGCCTGCTAGTACTGGGTCCTCATTTATTTATTAGCTGTATAATGTAAAAAAAGAAAAGAAAAAAACAGAATTGGTTTTTGAATAGAAATGAGACCTTATAATTTTGGTTCTTTCTGCCAGCCTGCAGAGAAGTAGCCTGGGGAAACCCTTTGCATGCTGAGGAAAGACATAAAACATGAAGTGTATGGTTCTTACTAATTTTCTATGCCTCTGTGATGTTCCTAGGAGCCTTAAAAGACTTAGCTTTGGAAATGTAGCTATGCTAAGAGCAGCTCTACAAGGTAAAGGAGATACAGGATCAAATACATACATATTACATACACACACGCATATATACACGCACACACATATACATATATACAGACTGCCCAGTCACGCTTTCAGAGTTTAAACCATTTCCCTTTCCTCTCCTCTTTTGCAGATTTATACACCTCTAATTTTTTTTTTGGACTGGTCAAATTTTATTTATTTTATTTTATTTTTTTCTGGTCAAATTTTAGAGGCAAGACATGGAGGCATGTAAGGCCATTGTGCCTCATCCTCCTAACCCTATCCCTTAAAAAATTTAAACGAGGCTCATAGCAAAAATAGGGGAGACAAGATGAATGCAAAGAATTTCCACTGATGTCTTTTGCTATCTTTTGAATGAGACCTGTCCAACTGAAGTTGTGTTCCTCTGCTCACAGCTCTTGGAACTGCCATTGGAGCAACACCAGAAGCAGCTGGTCCTGTTGGTCCTTCGAAACAGTGGGGCAGAGGTCACAGGGATCTGTTCACAGAATGCTGGTTATTTTGGAATGGTCTGCCGGACAAGCTCCAAAAATGCTAGTTCATATTGCGCATCGAGCCAGTCCCTCTCTTGCCTCCTGACAAATGAAACCTGGCTGACCTCCCTTTCTGTAAAGTTTTTCTCTTTAGAGGCAACAATGGATATATGATCTCAAGTCCCTCTAACGTATAACAGACAACTCTCCTTGGTCAAATTGAATATTTGAAGGATTCTCACTATATCTTTTACTCTTATTTCTCTCTACTTTAACAGACATGAACCACATACAATAAAGCATTTTTATTTTTTATTTTTTAAATATTTTCTTTATTCATGAGAGACACAGAGGCAGAGACACAGGCAGAGGGAGAAGCAGGCTTCCTGCAGGGACTCAATCCCAGGACCCCAGGATCACGACCTGAGCCAAAGGCAGATGCTCAACCACTGACCCACCCAGGTGCCCCCCAATAGAGGATTTTTAAATGTGATCTTGCAGTTTCTATGAGCTGTCCCATAGAAACAAGGACTTATCTAGAAGACCAGCTGAGGCTAGTTTGGGTTAAAGCAATCCCACTCCTCCAGTGGAAACTCCCACATCTTTTCCCAACCTCCTGAGAGGTGGCACACCTGAGAGCTATTCCTGTCTCCTGGCACAGAATTTCCTCCTTATCCATGGTTTCCCTCTCTCTCGTGTCAGTTCTCAGTCAACCACAGTCCAGAGGCAGATGCTCCTCCTGACGTAGCATCAGAAGATCACAGGTAGCCTCACACTCTGTCTTATCACTCACCTCGCTTTGTGTCATCTCATAAGCATTTGATCATCTCAAATCATGACAAGAGGGGTGAGTACAGTACAGAGGGATATTTTGAGAGACCACATTCATAACTTTTATTACAGTATATCACTATCATCGTTCTATTGTATTATTACTGTCGTCAGTCTCTTACTATGCCTAATTTATAAATTAAACTTTTTCATAAGGGTCCCTGGGTGGCTCTGCGGTTCAGCACCTGCCTTTGGCCCAGGGCGTGATCCTAGAGTCCCGGAATCGAGTCCCGTATCAGGCTCCCGGCATGGAGCCTGCTTCTCTGCCCTCTGCCTCTCTCTCTCTTTCTCTCTATCATGAATGAATAAATAAAATCTTTTAAAAAACGTTTATCATAGATATGGATATATCTAGGATATAGATATGGATATATAGGAAAAAACCATAATATATGTAGAGTTCAGTACCACCCAGGGTTTCAGGTATCTACCGTGGGTCTTGGAACATATCACCTGTGGATAAAGGAACTTTCCTTATATAGCAACTGCCTACAGCAACTGTACTTTCTCAACAAGTGTGATGACAGGGTTCTACCCCACTTCCATTCTCTAGAGCAAACTGGAATTATTTTTATTCTTTCATGCCTAGTATCTTTGTAGATGGTTCGTTTTCTAAGGCAGTGGGCAGCAATATAATCCACAGGCCCTCTGCCTGTTTTTTATACTGCACATAAGCTAAGAATGGTGTTTACATTTTTAAGGGATTGAAAAAATCAGAAGAAGTGAAAATTATATGAAATTTAAATGTCAGTGTCCATAAGTAACATTTTATTGGAACAGAGCCACGTTCAACCATTTATGAAGTGTCTGTGGTTGCTCTAGCCCTGCAACAGCAGAGCTGAGCAGTTGCAACAGAGACTGTATGGCCACGAAGCCAAATCTATTTAATATCTGGCCCTTTACAGAAAAAGGGTTTGCTAACCCCTACTCTAAGACATAGATCAAATGTCATTTTTCTAAAATGCCAAACCCTGTGTCTTCAAGGATATGGTTTCCTCTGAAAAACACCTCTTGTAGTTCTTCTGACTAAAATTAGCACCTAGTTTTTGTGTAAAATAAAGATGTAAAAAATAATGTAAGGAAGAAAATTTTAATTTCAAAAATTTGAAAATTGTATTAGCCAAATATATAAACACTGTATATATATGTGCACATGTCAGTTAAATCAGTCTATATGTAAGCATAATATATACAGTGTCATATATACTAAATATAGTGCATACACATATGGTTATATATACAGTTTATTTAGAATTATTCTGTAAAAGCATTTTTGTATCCTGCATTTTTATTTAGCATGATTTTAATAAGCATTTTACGAATATAATAATTCCACGGAATTAGAATCAGTAGTTGGAATTCTTGGTCCTGCTGAGTTATCATGCTGTCTGGGTTAGTGTAGTAGTTATCAAACCTAAGTTCTTGAGTCTGTCTACCTGAGCTCAGATTGAGGGTTTATAGTTTGCAAGCTATGTGGTCTGGGCAACTCCTATTGCATCAGGTTCCTCATATTAAAAAAGAGGGATCATAATCGGTCTGGCCCCATAAAGTCACTGTAATGTTAATATGAGAAAAGTGGTGATCGTAAATGTACCACAGAACTTAGCTGTTATTATTATTATTATTAATTATTCTGAATCTTAGTTTTGTTATTTGTAAAATTAGATAAAAAACAGTTATGAAGCTTCATAGAATTTTTATGAAAGTCAATTTTCCTGAAAATAAAACACTGTACATTGCAAAATGTTATATTACAAGATCACACTTTCTTATCTGCAAGATAAAGCTATGAGGGAGAATTGGGGAGTCAGGTCTAGGTTTAATTTCCAAGTCCAGGGATGCCTGGGTGGCTCAGTGATTGGGCATCTGCCTTTCAGGTTGTGATCCCAGGGTCCTGCTTCTCCCTCTGCCTGTGTCTCTGCCTCTCTCTCTGTGTCTCTCATGGATAAATAAAAAAAATCTTTAAAAAAAGGTATTCTTTAAAAAATAATAATAGTAATTTTTAAGTCTATCACTTGATGTGTGTGCAAGTCACTGGAACTCTTCAGCTCAAAGAAATTCTCTTAGTTTCTTTTCTGTACAATCAGGATAATAATAGTACCTGTTTCATAGGGATGTCCTGAGGATAAATCTAAATAATGCATGTAAAGCTCTTAGCACGGTGTCTGATAAACACTAAATATGCAATAGTTGTTACCTATCTTCATTTTCATTATCATCTCATAAGAGTATTAAAAGGATTAGAAATTAGAAGGATTCTGAAAGTTTACAGTACTCAGCAAATAGCAATAATAGCAGGTCAAACAAAAAACACAACAAAACATCGATGTGACAGTGATGTATCTTACCTCCATTCTATTAACCGGAAAGGAAGTTCCCACAGGAAATCACATTAAAAGGGGGAAAAGAAACAAAAGTTAGTACATTTTGATCTTAAGATTTGCAAGAGATAGCTTTGATAGCACTAAGTTTCTGGAAAGTTCTCTTCAATTAGGCCAGACACTGCATTAACAGGCAGATTTGGAGGAAATTAAGAGAAAACTGAGAGTCCCAGGAGCTGTATTCTTTTCACTCTGGGTCCACCACCATGGCATCATCAGCCCAGGCAGAGTCATCACTCCACATTCCCCTCCATTAGCCACCAAGGGACTCAGTATTACAAAAACAAGCCTAAAGATGAGAAACCAACCTCTATAAAGCACCTACAGGACCCAAGCCACAAGACAGTTCTACCACCGTACAGATAGAAAAGGAGACATGGGGCACCTGGGTGGCTCGGTGGTTGAACATCTGCCTTTGGCTCAGGTCATGATCTTGGGGTCCTGGGCTGGAGTTCCACATCGGGCTCCCCATAGGAAGTCTGCTTCTGCCTATGTCTCTGCCTCTCTCTCTCTCTCTCTCTCTCTCTCTCTGACTCATGAATGAATAAATAAGATCTTTAGAAAAAGGAAAAGGAGACATCAGGAAATTCTTCTAGAGAAAATGGTAATTTGGAGGGGCAAAGGCAGGTTCTAATAGCAGCTGAGCAGAGAACCCTGCTGAAATACCAGGAGGTCAAGGTTATGCATATGAAAGAGCCCTCAATTTAAGCTGTGAAAGGAGGACCCAAGGCCCTGAAGATCTTGCCAATGCCAAAGAGAACCCAGCCACAGTATTTGGGAGGAGATAATAAGCTTAGATAGGCTTCTATTTCAAGGATGAGGAAGGAAAGAAAAAGGAAACTAATTTAAGGGTGCTTGGATGTGTCAAGAATAGTAAGAGAATCAGAGGGCTTCCATGTGTTTCTTACAGAAGTTCCTCCAGTCGCATTTCCTTTTGGAGGGAGGGTGGGGAGCAGGGGAAGGTCCAAGAATGTTGCCATTATAAGCAAGTGCTTTGATCTCAAAACAAGATTTTTTAAGATTCCAGAAATTTCCAGCAGTCATCAATACGTGTAGTGTCCTTAAAAGTATCTGGAAAAGTCAGTAAAACTTTGGCTGTCTTCTAAAACACACAGTAACTTTAATGTGAGAAAGCTGCCTGATTGTGAAAAGAATGCTTGCCTCTTCTGCCTAACTGCAGAACAGCTGGTAGCAATTTAGTGTGGCTACTGGCTGTTACTCATTTATTCTTTTCCCTTTCATTTAAAACAAAAACAAATACCTTTAATCAATTTGAAACTAGATAAAGCCACCATGAAACACCAGGGGACGGTGTCTGGTTTGTTGGTAAGAGCACGCTACATCTCCTGGCTGAAGCACTGAGTGGCAAAGGTGGTCGTGTGCTTCTGATCCAGCCCCCCCACCTCGCCCTCTGTGTCTCATAATTGGGACGCTGGAAAGACACTGGAAGGAGTGTGACTATCAGACATGAGAGGGGCCATGAAACAGGGTAGTACGTTCAATCAGCTATATCGATTGTGAAAATAGAATTCAAACTTCTCTCTCTCTCTCTCTCTTTTTTTTTTTTTTTGATAAAGTGTGAAATGTCAACACTTAAATACATGTAATATAAATACGTGGTCCATTGGAGGGGTGGGGAACTCCCATGCTATCACATCAGATTTCTCCCTACGCCCATTTTTGGTTATGCTACATATATTCATTTGAGTTTTGAATTTAGCGACTGGAAGCCCCAGATCCTGAGGTCAGTCCGAAGGAGTATTGCAGATGGTGGGGGTGTTGGTAGAGTGAGGACTGGCTTACGTTAGAAGAAGGATGGGAACACAGGTCACTCCTGTACTGGTAAGACTGGGTAAGGATAGACAGGTCTCTGAACCTCAGCCTTCCAGGAGGAACTATTAATGCCACCAAGAATAGGAAATACAAACTTTTCCTCTACTGAATCCCTTTGTCTGGTTTTGTTTTGTTTTGTTTGTTTTTTTTTTTTCCTTTGGCCAGTTTTACTCAGATCTAATTATAACGTTGTGTAAGTTTAAGGTATACATTTATATAATGCAAAATAATTACCACCTTAGCATTAGCTAACACCTCCATCATGTCACATAATTACCATTTCTTTTTTGTGGTGAGAACATTTAAGATCTATTCTCATAGCAACTTTCAAGTATAGTACAGTATAATTATCATATGTGCAAAGATTCCCGGAACTTATTCATCATATAACTGGAAGTTCGTACCCTTTGACCAACATCTCTTCATTTCCCCTACCACCCAGCTCGGGGTAACGACCACTGTACTCTTTCTATGAGTAAGACTTTTCAGATACCACATGATAACATACATCTCTGTCTTTCTCTGACTTATCTCACATACTATAATGCCCTCAAGTTTCATCCATGTACAAATGGCCAGATTTCCTTCTTCATCATGGTTGAATGATATCACATTGTATGTATACATGAGGCACTATGAGATATACGTTGAGATATTTTATAAATATATATATCACATATTTATCCTTTTGTTTATCGACAGAAAGGTTGTTTCCATATCTTATAACTTATCTGCTGTTTTGACAAATTGTGAATAATGCTGCAACAAACATGATGGTGTAGATACTTCTTCAATATCCTGTTTTCTTTTCCTTTGGCTAAATATCCAGAAGTGGAATTGCTGAATCATATAGTACCTCTGTTTTTAATTTCTTGAGAAACTTCCATACTGTTTTCCATAGTGGCTGAACCAATTTACATTCCCACCACAGTGCGCAAGGATCTTATTTTCTCTGCATCACACTTAACTCGTCTTTTTTTTTTTTTTGATAGTCATTCAAACAGGTGTAAGGTAGTATCTCATTGTGGTTTTGATTTGCCTGATAATTAGTGATGTTGAGCATCTTTTCATGTACCTGCTGGCCATCTGTATGTCTTCTTTGGAAAAACGTCTGCTCAGATTCTCTGTTCGTTTTTTTGAAAAAACTAGATTGCTTTTTTGCTATTGAGTTGTATGAGCCCTTTATATATTTTGGATATTAACTCCTCAGATATGTGATTTGAGACTATTTTTCCCCCATTTCATAGGAAACCTTTCCATTTTGTTGATGGTTTCTTTTTTTTTAAGATTTTATTTATTTATTCATGAGAGACACAGAGAGGTAGAGACACAGGCAGAGGAAGAAGCAGGCTGCCCATGGGGAGCCTCATGAGGGACTCGATCCACTTTCATTGGTCTATGAGTCTGTTTTCATGCCAATTCCATACTATTTTGATTCTTATAGTTTTGTAATATAGTTTGAAATCAGGAAGTGTGATGTCTCTAGCTTTATTCTTCATTCTCAGGATTGCTTTGGTTGTTCACAATTTTTGTGGTCCCATACACATATTAAGATGGTTTGCTCTATTTCTATGAAAAATGCCATGGAAATATTAATAGGTATTGCATTGAGTGATACGGGAATTTTAGCAATATTAATTCTTGTGATCCATGAAACATGGTATCTTTTCATTTATTTGTGTCTTCAATTTCTTTCATCAAAATCTTTTTGTTTTCAGCATACAGATCTTTTACCTTCACAATGAAACTTATTCCTAAGTATCTTATTATTTTTGATGCTATTGTAAGTGGAATGATTTTCTTTATTTCTTTTTCCAATGTTTCGTTGTTAGTGTATAAAAATACAACTGATTTCTGTATGTTGATTTTGTATGCTGCAACTTTACTGGTTTTGTTGATTTGTTCTAATGTTTTTTTGGTAGAGTCTTTAGGATTTTCCTATATAAAGATCATATCATCTGCAAACAGAAAATTTTACTTCTTCCTTTTCAATTTGGATGGCTTTTATTTCTTTTTATTGCCTAATTGCTCTGGCTAGGACTTCTAGTACTATGTTGAATAGGAGTAGTGAGAGTAGGCATAGAATGGAACCTGTCCCCTGTTGGCAGAGTCACCCCAAAGGAATGGAGGGATCAATAATCCCAGCTGGTGTAATAATGAATTGTTTCAAAACCAACTCATAATTGATGCCAAGTGAAAGCACTGTGCAACCACCCACTAAAATATGGCATGATTTAAGAAATAAAGTACATTTGAAACCTTCAAAGAAAAATAGGAGTAGTGAGAGTAGGCATCCTTTTCTTGTTCCTGATCTTAGAGGAAGATCACCATTGAGTATAATGTTGGCTGTGGGTTGGTCATATATAGCTTTTATTGTGTTGAGGAATGTTCCTTCTATACCCAGTTTGTTGAGCATTTTTATCGTGAAAGGATATTGCATTTTTTCAAATGCTTTTCTGCATCAATTGAGGTGATCATGTGATTTTTATCTTTCATTCTGTTAATGTGGTGTATCACATTTATCTGTGTATGTTGAACCATCCTTGCATCCCAGGGATCAATCCCACTTGATCATGATAAGTCCTCTTTTATATGATGTTGAATTTGACTTGCTAAAATTTTGTTGAGAATTTTTGCATCAGTGTTCATCAGGGGAGGTGGTTTTCTTTTCTTGTCATGTCTTTATCTGGCTTTGATATCAGAGTAATGCTGGCCTCATAAAATGAGTTTGGGAATGTTCCTCCCTGTTCAGTTTTTGGAAGAGTTTGAGAAGAATTGGTATAATTCTTTAAATGTTTGGTAGATTTAGTATCAGTGCCTATTTGGTGGCATCTGGCTCCTTCAGAGTTGTGCTCAGTATAGGGATCGTGGGCTGTCTTGTTGGTCTCTGTCACAGAGCCGAGGGTTCTAATGACAAAGAGAAGGCACCTGGCCAAATACCCAGCATCCTGGTGATTTTAAATTGCAACTTGAGCCTTTCAAGGTTGTGGCTGGAAGGAAATGCAACTTCCTGGTTCATAGGGAGAGGTTCCAAAATTTTCCTGACTCCTTTTGATGACTAACAGCAAATGTAAATGAGTCAGAAAGAAGTATATCACATTTCTCAAACAATGCATAAGGATTGGGGCATACACATGGAAGAGTTGTGGGAAAATGAAGACTGATCTTTATTTTTTATATTCCTTCAAACACTAGCAATATCATTAGAGATAATCCTAAACACTAGACCATATTTTTCCATTTCCAGTTTTCCTGCTGGGATGAGTAAATAAACAGATGGAGGAAAAGCTTCAAAGGGAAACAGAGAATGTGACAAAGGAGGCTGTTGACTACAGAACACTAGGGGATGATGGAGATGGCTGAAATGAGAGAAAGGAGAGTTTGGGGTAAGGAAGCATTGCCAGAATGTCAAGAGGAGTCACCATGCCTGACTCAAAATTCTGGACCTCTGAGGCCATCAGAGGCCAAAGGAGAAAGGGGCTAAAAGCAGGACTGGAGAAAGCGAATGCCACATCCAAGCACTGGGAGGTCTGGGGAGCATAAGACCGTGCTTCTTTAAAATGATTCTGAATTAAGTGGCTCCATGGATCTTGTTTTCACCAATGTGGCTTCACTTTCCTGGAATATTACCTAAGGGAGCACCTCAGGATTGGGAGGCAGTTTCCTCATTGATAACACTGGGAACATTTTGAGACATCTAGTAGATTTAATGGAAAAGAATGGGGTCAAGGAGAGGAAGAGAAAATGGCAGATGTCTTATGGGGTTCAGAGGTCTTATTCCATTGCACTCATGAGACAATCTCATTAGATCTGCCTGGGAAAATTATAGGAAAAGTAGAGGAGCTTCAGGCCTCATAGTCTGTGAGATACAACAGGAAAAGCAGATCAGGGGATGAACAAAAGGATACTGTAGCTTTTTATGAATTAGCTCCTTAAGGGAGTCTCTCTTCACTCATCTTAGTAACATTTTTTTTTCCCTGTGCAGAAGGATTCACACTTATTGGTTAACATACAGCACCTGACACTTGCTGAACATGCACTGCCAGGCCCATTGGCTAAAGTCAAGTCATTGCTGGTTCCAGTCAACATGACCATTACCCTTACTGAGGTCACTGCTCCTCATCTGCATTCAACTCTGCTGCTGCAAGAGATTTCAAGTCCTTTGCCGCTATATACCATTCCATGCATTGCTTCTACCATCTTTTTCCCCATACAAATGCTACTGCTGTTCTCCCCCAGGCTACCATTGCTGATTACCTCCATCCTCACTCTGGTCTTCTCTCAGCATTGACGCCCAAGACCATTTCTCCTTTTATCTTCTACGCTGCTTGCCACAACTGAAGGTTCTTTCTACCACCAGAAGACACCATTATTGTTTTAGTATTATAGTCTTCTCTGTTGGTATATTCCATTTATTAATGCAGTCAGATCAGGCTCTCATCAGGTATATTCCATTTGTTAATAGAGTTGGATCAGCCAGGTCAGGGTTGAAGGGGTGAAGTTGCTGTATACAATATGGTGGTAATCATGCTTTATAGTCATTTTAGCATCTTGAAGATCATGTCTGTGCAATGAGTCTGCCTTGGTGTGATGAAGATATACCCATTATATTAGTTCTCCTTACTTATTTCCATAGCACTGCCTTCATACTCATCTTTGTACTTAAGATGGTAGGCCCTAAAAGTTGCTGTGCTAAAGGGATTGTCTCCAGCTTGGTGTGTTATGGAAAGGAGGAAGGTAGAGGAATTAAGAATTCAGATGTACATTTTATAGAGTCCTTGCTGTAGACCAAAATCCTCGAAGAGAGGTATAAATAAAGGAAAAAGCCAAAGCAGGGGGACTTTTCCCTACTTCTTGTTTGGAACTCTAGAAGCAAGGAACCTTATTAGGCATCCCTTACTCTGATATAAAATGGCCACATTAGTGTAAAAATGGTAGCATGACATGGTTGGGTAGACAACGGAACTGGGTCAATAGGTCTAAATCTCTCTTGGATTTTGTATAACATGCAAGTGATCCAGAAGTTACTTTAGGCCCCACAGGGATAAAGAAGGAACTGAATTAGAACTCAACAGGCCTGCCTTCATAGGTAGAGACAGGGTGACCTAGTTGCAAAGGTTGGAAAGTAGACTCTAGAGAGGGGCTTGATGAAGGATGTGACAAAGATGGAGAGGACTGTGCTGTTACAGGAGGAGCTTCAATGGTGCTGAGCCAGCCAGAGGGGAGAGGGTCTTCTACATCCTAACAAAGCCAAGAGATGAGATCCCAAGATCTCCAGCTATAGACTTCACTAGAGAATGGGGTAGGGGTTTGTTCTAGAGGGGCACTACTGCCTGGTTCCAAGTCCCTTTTCCCCCCCGTCCGTCTAGGGAGAGCCCCAGCAGAGAATTAATATGTGAATGACTGAATTAATTACCTCAAATGAAATGCTCTTAAGATTAGCAACACTAATTTTTCTCTTTCACCCTGAAAAGGCGTAGGTTAAAGTAGATTAAATCAGTTTATTTTCTTGGATTTGAGTATTCATATGTAAATATTTCTCTCTTTCTCTCTCTCTCTCTCCCTCCCTCCCTCCCTCCCTCCCTCCTTCCCTCCCTCCCCCCCCTCCACACATGCACATGATATAAATGGATGGATAGAGGATAGGTACTGTAAATTGCTATTTATTTATTTATTTATTTATTTATTTATTTACTTAATGTTGGTTCTTGATCAAATATCAAATAAAACATAAGATATTGAGACTAATTCCAGGTTATTCCAAGGCATTAAAATTTTAATTATTTTTTAATCTCCTGGACCTCCTCATGTTCTTATATTTTTATTTTGTTTTGTTTTATAAATTACTATTTGTCCTAGACACCTTTCTTAAGCTCTTACATCTACTACACTATTAACTCGTTTTACTACACTGCTACATTCTAGCACGTTCAAATCCTTTTGGGTTTGTTTGTTTGTTTGTTTTTAGGGGAGAGAGAAGAGGGGGAAGGGGCAGAGGGAGGAGGGAGAAAGAGAGAATCCCACAACCCTGAGATCCCACAGGGCTCAATCTTACAACACTGAGATCGTGCGTGACCTGAGCTAAAATCAAGAGTTGGTTATTTAACTGACAGAGCCACCTAGGCACCCCTCAAATCCTATCATTTTTATCCTAATAGGTCTTCTGTATTTCTCCTCTTCTCTCTGTACCAATTATTGCAGTTGTCTTTCAGACCTTCATTACTTTTCTAGATTCTTTGAATAGCCTCCTGACTGTGTGCCATATCTCCCAATATTTTACACCCAACATCTGTTAATTTGATAATGGTATCTCTGATATTACTCATCTCCTCTAAAATAATTAGATGACTTCCCAGTAATCGAAAAATACACCAACCTATTCAGGCTATTCATAACCTGGCCAGAGCCCACATTTCAAGCCTTTCTTCCCATTCTCTATCTTGCTCCCAGTCTCCATCATGCTCTAAGCTTTGCCAACTATTTTGCTGTTTTCTTTGTCTGTGCTTCTGCAGTAGAACCTAGTCTGCATCATAATATATATGGCTGGCTGACTTCCTTTCTAGATTGAGAGTCCCCAAAAGGCAGGGACTCCATTGTTAATTATCCCATTTGTTACTTAAGTTTGCATCCTTTATTCTACATAATGATGGCCTGAATCTAGTATTTAATAAATGCTTAATAAATAAGAATATTTTACAAACAACAAGATACTGTATAAGCAATAATTGTTTTATTATTGTTTGTTAAATTGAGTCAAATTCATTTTTAGTATTCTCATCATTCTCTAGGAGAAATGATTTCCCATCAGTGGAAATTCTAGAATAATTGATATGCTAGCTCAAGGTGCTATAAGCAGATTTATACTCTGGAGAGGAAGGCAGAAGGAATCCTTGGTTTTAGAATTTTCTCCTTCCTTCCTAGGCATGCTTTAGAAGGCCAGCCTTGTCCAGCGCTCCCTATATATCTCTCTGTGGTCTCTATTCATGTCATATTAAAATCACAAACATTACCAGGAATTTCCCCATCATGGGAGATCAAAGAAGTGCCATGGTAGTAAGAAATAGCAGGATCTGGAGAGCTGGCTTTGAGCACAGGTTCTAGCAGTGCTTGCCTTACATGTGAGGCCAAGCATCTCTGCTGACCCTTGGGAAGTAGACACATTAGGAGTATAACATGCCTGGCATTTCCTGATACAGGGATTATTTCCATCTTTAGGAATTCCACAAATGTTCTCAGGAGCCTTTGGGGCATTTACATTTTAAAAATAAACCTTTATAACTCAACAAAATATCCTAGAAATCTGTATGTCAGCTCTTTTCCTTGAAAACACCTGAAGTCCTGCTATCACTTTCATGAAACAGGAAAGGGAAAGACCACAAAGTAGATCAAATACTCATAAGTAAAAATGCCCTCAAGAAATAGCCATGCAGAAATTGGCACAACCGTGTGAAGGATCTGCCAAGTTACTCTTTAAGAGCCCTGAAAAGTATGATTAGCCCCACAAAAGAAAAAAAATAAGAGAGAGAGATGAAGAGGAAAGAGAGAGAGAGGAAGGAAAGAAAAGAAAAGGCAAAACAGAAAAAAAGGAAGAAAGGCAGGAGGAAGGTAATAAAGAAGAAGAAAAGGAGGGAAAGAAAAGAAATAAGGAGATGGAAGAGAAATGAACTCCTGGAAGCTTGTTACCCATCATGTGGACAGGTATCGGGGGATTTCATTTCTGAGGCAACAAATCACTCAAGATCAATTATCTAGATCAACCTCTGGAGTGCCCCCCAAGGAGGAAGAAATTGCCCAAAGGGGACTGAAGTAAGAAATAAAAGAAAAAAGATTTTGCCCCAAATGAGATACGGAATAGTGCCAACTCTCTCCTCTTGGAGCAATGTGATTACGAAAATCCATCCTACCTGCTATGCTGATGGTGGCTGCAGCCTTTGCGGTGCTGAATTTCTCTCCATGCTTATTAGTAGCTATGCATGTGAAGAGTCCTGGCTTAGTAATGAACAGCTGCAGTCTTGAGTCAATCACTCGATCTTTCACACTTTCTTGAATGGACCCAGAAGAAACCTGATGGAGTAGAGGGAAAAAAAATGAATAAAATTAGGTCAAGGACTTCCTGATATACTGCATCAGTTGACTTGGAAGAGACAGCATCAAAATTATGATCAAAAGACATGTGGTAGATCGCAAAAATAGCCAAAACCTTTTCTTTCTCTATGCCTGTGACCTTGCAACGTAGCTTTGTAGCTCTTCCCCCAAGAGGTAGCATCTCTCTCTGTGCTTTGAATCTAAACTTGGCCTTGTACTTGTCGGAGAAAATCAGAAACAGACTCGTAAAATTCTTGCACATTGTGGCTTACTTTCTTGTTGCTCTTGGAACCCATGACCTCCTATGACCAACCCAGAGCTAGCCTGCTAGAGGAGGAGGCACACATGGCCCAGTTTTCTGCACTGCCCCAGCTGAGAGCCAAGAACAACCACTAGATATACAAGCGAGGCCATTCTAGATCGACTAGCCCCCAGTCAATGTGCCAGTCTTAGGAACTAGATCAGCTAAGATCATGAAATCATGGCCCAGATCAGCAAAACCACCCTGTTGACCCACAGACTTGTGAGCATTACATAATGGTTAACTCCTATTCAGTTCCCCACAAATGCACACCAGATAGATAGATGGTTATGAAAAGGTTATAAAAGCCAATTCTGTTTCCGAGGCATGACATACACCATGCCATACTATTTAAATCAGAAGAGCAAATGTCCTTGAAGCGCCAGGATATCAATGCAGTATTGGTCCCCAACTGGCGGGTTAATATATGTAAGTGCTTATTAGTCATCACCTTTTCAGCTCTGTGAGAAAGACAGCTGCCCAGCTCTTTCTGAGGTTGCAGAGTTAGAATATGTACCCTTGTTATGATAATTATTCTTTAATCATCACTGTTTGTATGAGGGGAAGATGCCAGTTTGAGGGAAATTTGAATGGAAAGACAACCAAGGAATCAGGCCATGATTCACCTTGGCCGCATCTCGGAGGAGTGGCCTTGAAAGCTCTCTCTCTTTGTCCCATGGTAGGGAACAGGGCTGGAAATAAGAAAATTGGAACCAGTTATTTTGCTCTTTTGCCTGTTTCAACAGTTAGACTAACAAGGGGGGGGGGAACCCTGGGGGAAACCAGCTTCCTTTTTTTGCTGCCAGGTGGCTGGCTGGCCTTGGATCCAAGCTCTCTCTGTAGTTATTAAGTTGGGAAGTTGGTCCAATTAGCTTCTTTGTCTTTGTATTCCTTCTCTGTACTACTGGATTCAATCCTTATGGTAAAAATTCCAGGTGAGCATCAATTTAAGTCAGATCAAGTCTTATGGCAGATTCCCCGGATAAACAGCTGGAACTTTGTGAGAAATTGACAAGGCAGAGAAAAAAATATCTGTAAGAGACAGACACTCAGTTGGGAATTAAGATAGGATGCATCATTATCGTATTTAGTGGAAGCGCAACGTCTTATGGATTTGAATCTCCAAGTTATATAGATATAGAAGATGGAGTAACTTGAAATACAATTTTGCTCTCTGAATTTTAGCAACAGAGCAACAATGGAGAAAAAGGCTACAGGCCTCAAACATCTGTGCTCAATCAACACGCTTTATGCTATTGGGGTATTTCGTTTATAAATATAACCCCTTCCCAGTTTGTAGAAGTGAAATCTACAGAACAATTACTCCCCCCCCCCTTCACGAGGTTAATCCCCCCTTCAGAAAGGAGGTCAGCGCACAGGCCTTGGAGACAAGTTGGGAACGAGTCATCCCCCAGAGTTGACTGAACTAGCACTATTTTCATGTTCACACCTAAGAAAGTCATTCCTTAAACTCCTCCTCAAGGTCCCTGAGAACATTCTTGGTGGGAAAGAGGATGAGTTTTAAGCTGGCTGGCCTCTCTTCTCCTGGACTTCAGCCAGGTATGGAAATAGTTCAGCAAGGAGACCAACAGGTTACAAGGCTCATTGCTCGGTTATGATGTGGCTCCTAAAGGCTTTTCCTCCTGTTTCCAGAGGCTTTGCCTGATTCAGTTTGTGACTCATGCACAGCAGGCCTTGTTAGTCATAGTTTGAATTTGTTTTTCTTTCTTCATGGATTGTCCTGACCAAACGTTAAGTACTTTTTGATGACCTCAAAATAAAAACAACGCTTTGCCCTCCATTCTGATCTCTTTTTTGTCCCTCAATTTCCAATTATTACTGAGTTTTGAGCAAGGTGTGCTGAGGCAAAACTGAGTACTTAATTGAGATGACGATAGCTGGTATTTACAGTAAATATGTGATTTTCTCCAAGGCACTCAGACATACTGACCTGAAGGAGCTGGATAAACAGGTCTCTGCTCTGTATGTGGGGTTCTCTTTCTGAGACAGTGACCTCATGAAGAGGCAGTCAAATAGGAAACTTGATCATAAATATGCATATGCAAATATGTTTACACTTGAGATAATGTGTGGCAAAGCTTTTTGAAAGCAGCAAACTAGTATTGACCTGTGGAATATTTTTATATATCCTTAATACATTAATGATGCTGGTTTGAGAGAATTTCCTCGAAGTTATGGATAATGTCGTAACTTCATCATGACTTGACCTTGGTGCAGGAAGACCTCTGAGAGGTATTCTGGCTTCGATGGCTTGGTCTTACATGTAGTTCCAGCTTGCTGAGAATACCTCATGGAGATGTAGGGTATGGCCCAGAAGGGTCCATGTTTAGGGAGATATAATAACGTCTGTCTACACATCCTAAAAAAGGGATAACAGACTGAGAAAATTTTCCATATTGTTTCTGATCAACATCACCATAGTGACCTCTTTCAATCTGGCTGCTACAATATTCCACATAATATATCCCAGTTGATATATGTAATTATTTTCATTTACACAGCTAATAAGATAACTCCAAAGTTCATATACTTTGAACCCAAAATACTATCTCTTAAAAAATGTGTATAAAATAAAAGTGAGCCTCCCTTTAAGAAAATTCAAAAGCACAATCTCCGACACAGATAATTTCATTGTTTTATGAAATTCTTTTAGCAAATTAAAGTGATTCAACTTTTAAAATATTTTAGGAAGTGTATTTATTGGAAAAACAAGAGAGACATGTAATTCTTCTACATTTTTTATTTGAATGCCAAAATAATGGAGATAATCATCAATGTAACTTGACATAAACCTGGTCATCAAAATACAAGTTTATTTCTTTTAGAAAAGTAATCTCTGTTCTATCCACATGAAACTACTACTTTCAATATTATGAAACGAAAGGAATATTACTACTTACTCTGAAATTCATCTCAGACTACAAATTTTCATGAGAAATGAATGACATTTCTGTAGGAAGAAAACAAAATAATTCTTGATTGCTTTGGGACACATGGCTAGCCTTTCTCTTCTAACTGCTCAGGGTTTCAGGTTATTGATGGATTCATAGAGGCAGGGAGGAAAGGAGCCGCCACATCCTTTAGAATTCCCATTATTCTGACTAGTGTGTTAGTGAAATTAGTTCACTGATTTGTAGTTAGTGAAGAGCTACAGTTCAAACTCTGTTTTATTCTGTGCCAATTAGCTCCCAGCTCTGCATTCATGTTTGTTCAGTCCACCCAAAATAATACCAGGGCTGTGGGCCCTTCCCTGTTCTCAATAGACTTTTCTGGTTTGCTGCTTGGTTATTAAATGCCTGAGCTTGCCTCCATTTCCTGTAATTTGTGTCAGCACAAGCAAGATCATCTCAGTTTCTATTTGGACGTGGGTAGTAGCACCATGAACAAAAGTTGGCTGTAAGAGCAACCCTCTCAAAAAAAAAAAAAAAAAAAAAAGAGCAACCCTCTCTCTGGCCATGAGAACCACAGATGTACTTTTGCTTTCTTCCTGAAAGAAAGTCACTATTAGTTCCTCTCTTAGAATCTGAAGCAATGGGTCTATTTTACTTCCTGCTTTTTGCGAATCACATCTTGAATGATTAAGTTGGGGTCTCAGTAAGACCAAAACTAATTCAAATTATCTGACTTTTTTATTACTTCTCAACTCCAACAGAGACTAATCCTGCATCTTCCAGTTCTACACTCATGTGAGCCTCTGAAAACATTGAATTTTTTTAAAAGCATGTGTCTTTCCATTTTCTTTATTCCTGTTTGCACAGAGGAAGTCAAATCAGTAAAGTCCTATCATCAGTACACCTGCTTTCTTAGGACATAACTTTACGCTACCTTGAGAGGCCAAAGACAACACCAGCTGCTTCCACAGGAGAGCCACAAAACCAACTGCCAAATAAGATTTGAATTTTAAATGACACTTGAAGTTTAATTAGAGAGCTAGAGAAGAACAAGAACTACAAGTTTCTTGATTGTAACTTAACAGCATTGGAGAACCGTACCCCTGATGTCATATTAGGGATCATTTTCTCCAGCCACCTGACACTTCTGTCATTACAAACATGAGAAAATCAGTGTCTGAGAAGTGAGTGAGATTCCCTACAATTATATTTGCTGAAGAGAGTCATTTCTTGTTTATGTCTGCTAACCCTTCACCTGTTCTTATTTATCATACCTCAAGTAGCAAGCTCATAAAGTGACATTATTTTCCTTACTGACTATATTTTGAAGAGATGGATAGAAGACAATTTAGACAAGCTAAATTAGTTTTAAACATAAATTATGCGAAAACAGTTTTGTGCATGTATCAGGAAAAAGACCCCTTTAGCAAAAATAATAATGAAAACAAAAATAATAAATGAATTTAAGCCCTAAAGTGGCTGCTATTGCAGAATGACACTCTTCATTAGTTGAGGTGGGCTTAGAATTTGGCATCTTTTTCCTGGTGTTACAACATCCACCAGAATTTCACACATGGATGTGCTTTGTTTCCCACACACTTCTCTCCTTGCCCTCCTTCCCTTCCTGTGTCTTGTGTCAGACTACTCTTTCCCTTCCTTACCTTCTTTTCTTCTGTTTCTTTTTTCTCCTCATTTACAACGTACCTTTGACTCTAAAATGCTTTTAAATGTTAATATATTGTAATATGACAACATGTGGACCTTGCAACCAAGATCCCAAAAAGTTGGAGAGAGACCATACTGGAGGACATGAAAAATGAAAATAACTGAGAATCCCTTAGATGATTCATCAAGGTTTGAGTTGTTGTGAGAACCATCCTCACTCCACCCAAGGGACTGGTTCAAAAAGCACACCATCTCCTTAAGGTATGGAAGAGGATCTTCAATAGGACCACCTGAAGGGTTGGCATATGTCTCCTGCCGTGCAGTAAAGGGTTAACGTTAAAGTAGACTCAAGATGTTCAGACCCTGAACATTTGAAAGAAAGGACTGGCCTTTGACTTGCTTCTAAGAGATAACCTCTCATCCCTTGGAAAATCCTGCCTCATAAGAGGGTCTTTGTATATCTGAGACCATGAGCCATGCCAGATAGTTTGTGTTACAGTGCAAATTATGGTGAATAGCTCTATTTGTTCAGCAGGGACTCTAGGCTATACTGTATCAGTTTGACCTTTGAAAAGGTCAGAGGCTAACTAAGGTCAGTCATGTGAAACCTCCATGCTTTTGTAACTGACCCTCAGGAAAAACTCTGGACACTATGGCTGGCTGAGCTTCCTTGGTACAAGGCACCATACATGTTGACATCATTGCTGGGAGAATTAGGAGCTCTCCATGGGACTCCACATGGAGAGAACAACTGATTGCCCACTACTGAGTTTAGTCTGTGTCCTTTCACTGTAATAAACAATAACCATAAGAATAATGGCTTTTCTGAGTTCTCTGAATCCTTCCTGTGAATCATCAAATTTGAAGGTGGTCTTGGGGACTCTGACACACTTGCAATTTGTTGACACAGCAGAGATCTATCTGATACTCACCTGTAAAGTCTGAAGGGCAGAGCCAGGCTGCCTAGCAGCTCCAATGGAAGGAGCAAAGAGGGGCAGCTCTGTTCAGTGATCTGGATCACTGTGGATATACAGGTTTTATAGAAGATCTGGTTTGGAATTATTTTCAATCTTCCCCAAAGGTCTTTTTGAGACATTGATGGGATCCCAACAGAAAGGCTTCTCATCAACTAACAAATTGGAAGCTAAGAGGAAGATGGCTGCTCTGAGGAAAAGGAGTCACTGAGGTCATCTTGAATAGGCCTTGATTTCTGAAGAATCATGAATGTGTCCATGATGGAAAGAGTCATTTTAAATACTTGTCTGGAACAGTGGTGGAAAACCAGCCGAAAACAGTGTCAGTTAAATTAGAACTTTTCCATTTCAATTACTGCTCCTCCCTTCTTCCAACCCTAAACCTGTAGGAGTCTTAAATAGCAGTTAAGAAGTGGAGGAAGAGTGAATGAGTGTGAGAGAAGAAGCCAACCGCAGGACTGTTGTGGAAGGCAGGTGGCATGCAATCTGTAGTCTTAAGAAAGGGAGGCTGGCTCTCTCTGTCTCTGTAGAGTGTGCAATAATTGATCTCAGGGTAGTGAGTTTGAGCCCCACGTTGAGTGGGGGAGATTTAAAAAAAAAATCTTAAAGGAAGGGAAAGGAAAGAAAGGGAGAAAGAGAAAGTTCCCATCTGTGAATTGCAGTTGGAAACTTTGGTCATTACTTAGGGTTAGGTACTTAGAATTACTAAATTGGGATAGTGTTAGTAATGTAAAATCACCTAAAAGCAACTGGGAAAGTCACAGAACCTGCTTGGGGTAGGACTTTATGGTGAGAAAAGAACTTACCCTGCTGAAGAAACTTCAAAGAAATAGAAGATATTAAATGAGGTCATATTACTTGCAAGTCATGCTTGCTCAGCACCCGATTTACAAAGATAATCTCAGCCCATATGTTTAACTCTCCTTTTTCTATCCCCAAATCCCAAAAGATAAATCAAGCCTAAAATTAAGAAAAATAAATCTATAGAAGGGCAGAAGGGTATCATAATCAAGGGGCCAGAAATACTCAGCAATTTCTGGAAGATACAAAGAGATGTGACTGGCTTCATAGAAAAATTAGTATCAACCAAGTCGCTAAAACCTAAAAGTTCACTGAGAGGAGAATGGATACATCTCCCTATAAAGTCATGGAAAATTCCAGAGTTCAGATAACAAGGCTGTAAGTAGGAGCAGACTTTGAGAGAGTGAGTAGAGTAGTGGAATAACGTTATGAACTATTAGGAGTGCATATAGCACTAGACTGAGGCATCTATCTATGGGCTAGAGCCTCTTTCATGGATGTTTGTGGGGGACATTTATGTTAAGCACTAGAGCCTGAGAAAAAGTTGACAGATTATGTAGGACTCCCTCTCTCCGCAAAACTATGCAGAGCATAAAGATTAGAAAGATTGTGGGTTTAAAATAAATTTATTTACTAGAAGTCTAATGAATTTCTATTACAACTACATTCTTTCTAATCTTATGCTCTGCAGAGATAAAATGTAGAGAAGAGAAAAGCAGTTGTTAAGGATACAATAGAGGAAAATGTCCCTGAGTTTAAGAGAGATTTGCATCTCAAGTTCTTCCCTTTAAATTCTGTGTCGAAAGAAAATACATAAATTTACCAATTGATTCTGTAGGGCTGGCATAATATTGTTAACAAAACCTGAGCAGGAGAGTTCTTAAAAACTAGGCTATTTCCATTTTTAAAAATATATGCAATAATCCTAAAGAAATTACAGCAAATTGAAACCACACAATTAAACAAACAAAAAAAGAGCAATGTGTTTAAAGAATGAAAAATCTTTCCAATTTAAAGTGAAAAATGACATGTTCATCACAAAGTTAAAATAATGACAAGGCATTTCATTGAGTTTACAACATATTTATGTTAAAAACATTTGTTAGATTAAGATTAAAATAAATATCTTTAATCTCATAAAGAATATCAGAAACTAGTGACTGAATGCAAACCAAACATTAAGTGAAGTGATTAAAGTCTATAAAATATAATTATGATAATTCATGATAGATTCTTATTTCAGATATTGGTAAGCTGGGTTATCAAACCAACTCTCACACTGAAAAAAATTAAAATTCTGGAAGATACTTTTAAAAATACAACAAACTTAGAAACTTTCATTCTCCCTAAGACATTTTTCTAACCCAGAAAAATGTGTTTCCTTTGAGGAGTGAGGAGAGAGAAATCAAAACTCTGGGTTTCATAAGGGTTAGGAGTCTAATAAGTGATACAAGAAACTAATGTCTCAAAGAATCAAGTATCAGGGAGGTGTCAATAATAACTACAACTGAAATAGCCCATGTAGAATTGCAGGCTGGGATAATTATCTGGGATAACCAAGAAGCTTCAAACCTTGAATTAGGTTTAAGATGGTCCAAGATAAGTAGTTGCTTCCGGTCCTTGGCAGAAATAAACAAAAAATTCTTTCTGGAGAAAGGTACCTTTATCTAGACTTCAAATTAATTCCTGGCTTCCTCCCCGCTAAATAGTGAACAGCACTTAGTCAAAGATAACTAGGCACACAAGGAAACAAAGCACAATGAACAAGAGTCAGCAGGAAAACAGATAACAGAAAGACACCTAAAATGGCATACCATCTCACTCAAAAGCCAAAGTTCTTTCAATGCCCTACATGAGCTTATATGATCCATGATTCCTAAATTACACCCCTTATTTCTTTCCTCTTTGCTCACTCACCTCCAGTCACATTGACTACTTGCTATTCCTTTGACATACTTTCTGCAAGTTTATCTGACTCTCCCCAGTTTTCTTCCCATAATTATTGACATAGTCTCATCCTCAGTCTTCACATCTTAGCTCAAATGTCTTCATCTAAATGAGGCTTCCTTGACCACTCTATTGAAAATGGAATCTTTCTCCCAAGGTTGCACATTCTGTCTCATTTTCCTGCATTTTTTTTCTCCATAGTATTCGACACTGTCTGCATAGAATATTCTGCTACTTGTTTTATTTTGTTTGTCTTTCCCTGTCATAATGTAAGCTCTTTGAGGCAGGGAACTTCACTTTTTTTTTTTTTTTAGTTTTTTTTTTTGAAAATATGACTTTTTTTTTTATTAGTTTCAGAGGTAGAATTTAGTGATTCACCAGTTGCATATATGCTCAGTGATTGTTACATCTAGTGCCCTCCTTAATACCCTTCACCCTCTTGTCCCTTCCTGCCCCCATCTCCCCTCCAGCAACCCTCAGTTTGTTTCCTAAAGTTCACTGTCTCTTATGATATGCCTCCCTCTCAATTTTTATCTTATTTTATTTTTCCTTTCCTTTCCCTATGTTCATCTGTTTTGTTTCTTAAATTCCACATATGAGTGAAATAATAGGGTATTTGTCATTCTCTGACTGACTTAGTTTACTTGTTTTATTTGTTCCTGTATCCATAATGTCTAAAATATTGCCTGATACCTGGGAGATTCTCAGTACATATTTGTATAATGAGTAAATGAACATTTATATGTAAAGTGCTTAGAACAGAGCCTGGTACATAGTATCACTTAATATATGTTATTATTATCAGTATAAAAATGAATTAAAGGATATTAAACTGACAGTTACGGGTTCTAATTCTGGATTGTTTTTCATCAAAGTACCTCTAGTTACAGTGAACTAATTTTTATGCTGATGAGTTTTGTGAAAATTATTTTACCTGTGTGGGAAGGAATTTTTACCTCTTCACTTTTATATAAAAGCACAAAAATTTTTTTGATTTTTCTACTCTTCCTTTACGATACAAGGAAAGAGGCAAACCCATGGAGTATAATTTTTAGGTCAATGACTTCTAGGATGAAAATCCTGAAAGACTTTGAAAAATGGAGGTGCAGGTGGGATCAGTAACAGAGATCAAGGCAACTTCACAATTATGTGGTCTATTCCTGAAATTCCTCTCCAGTGAGTCTTCCCCAGACAAGTCCCCATACAGATGGCACTCACAGCATTTCCGTTTTCAATCCAGCTGATGGTGGGCACAGGGATGCCTGTTGCTGTACAGCGCAGGGTCACAAAGGAGCCAAATGTGACATTGTGGGATTCAGGAGCCCTCAGGATTCTGGCAAAAACTGTTAGGAAAACAGAAGCGGTGAGTGACTCCTAAAGGGAATGCTCAAACTGGAGTGGTCTTTTAAAAATGCAGATCAAATTGTGTTCTCCTGTGTAAAGTCCTTCCACGTTCCCTCTATATTAAGGTAAGACCAAATGCCATACTGTGGCTTCTAAGCCACTTAATGCTATAACTCTACGTTTCTCACCACTGTCCGCTACTCCAAGCTTCTTCCTTCTTTAGGAGCTTGTCTATGCTTTCCCTCGGCCTAGAGCACTCATCCCAGATCTTCATGTGGCACATTCATTGTATCATCCAGTCTCTGGTTAAGTGGAATTTCCTCAGAAAGGCCTTCCTTGACCACCCAACATAAGGTATAGCCTGCTCCCATTCACTTTTTCATCATCCTGTTTTATTGCCTTTACATATCTTACCACTATCAGAAGTTATTTTTTATTTGTCTATTGTCTGCCTCTCTCCCCCTCCGTAGATTGTGAGTTTTCAGCAACCAAAAACCTAGTCTGTTTTGTTCAGAAGAGTGCCTGACCAAAGTAATAGTATTTAATTGAATTAATTAAATAATTAATGAATGATTTATATCTTCAACTATATCACAGTGGGAGGACACACAAAATTTGTCAAATTTTTTAGAGAATGAAATGAGCACATTGTGCCAAAAAAGAAAGAAATATTTTAGGCCAAGTGTGAGCAGGAGAATAGATCATTAACATTCTATTCTGAGATTGAATTCCTACTGATTAATTAAGAGAACATCCGAGGAAGATACGATTTGACAACTGAATCCTTTTTGCAGATTCTAATTTTAGATTTGCAGGTTCAGATTAATTCAACTCCCAATTTTTTTGATATTGAGGACTGTAAGAGATGGAATCTAGAAGAGCATGTTAGAAATACAATGTTAGGCACAAAAGCCAGAAGAAAGGAAAAGCAAGGAAGGCTCCATCTTTAAGGGAACAGGTTGGTTAAAAAAGGCATCAAATGTTTAAAATACAGCTGAATCTGACCCCTGAAACAAAACTGAGACTGCTTTTAATAAATCCTGTAGTCTAATTCCCATCTGACAAAACATAGAGGTTAAGGAACATGTTAAGCAACGTTACAGGGATGCAACTCATTCAAATTCATAATATAGACAATTCAATAGGACAAATTATAATTTTCTCAATAAATAACTTGTATCGGGGGATAAAGAAAAAGAGAAATATTATAGAGTCAAAAAGACTTAAGAAGCATAACCTCATATGCAATGTGTGGATGTTATTTGGATTCTTACTCAATAGATCAGATGAAGAAAGATATTTTGAGGTAATTGGATTAAAACTGTGCAGTCCTGGTAGTAAATGGTACTAAGAAATTAGTGCTAATTGCGGATGGGTGGAATAATAAAAATGGTAATGCAATTTTATTTTTTTAAAAAAATCCCTACACTAAGGTACATATTGGTTGATTGAATCAATGTCTGGGATTTGCTTTAAAAGAAACCAACAGCAATAAAATAGCAGTAGAATCAACAAAACAAAATCAGTAGACTGTTGATCATTGTTGCTGGTGGGTAATGGGAACATGGGAGTTCACTATATTACTGTACCTACTTTTCTGTAAGATTGGAAATCTTACAATAACATTTTAAAATATTGCTGTGGAGCCTACCCCACAGCTCCGGAAAACATGTGATGAGACCTACACTTCTTCTGCCATTCAAATAGTATCAAGTTTTAGAAAACTCTGAAACTGAAGACAAGTAAGGCTCTGAGGAGGAACATTTGGCAGAGGCAGCAGTCCTAAAAGCCTCAGAAATATCGACCATAGTTTTAGATCAAAATTCTATGAGGGATAATCCTAAATTGAAATGAAATGTGGGGAAAATTTTCCCTACCAGGTGAGTTATAGAGCCTGAAAGATTTCACACAATGAGTGGCAGTAGCCATAGTGATCAGCAGAGTTGGCTGGAAAAGTGAGTGAGCCTGTGGGGTCTCATGGGGCACCTTGCTACGAGCACCCCATGCTTGGTTTAATTATCTGCTGTCTGTGTCTTGAACTTACTAGTGATTTTTGGATTAAAATCATTGTCATTTGCACCTGGCCCACAGGTTATGGAGCCAGTCCTGGTAGTCAGGGATAAACATGTCACCTTAAAAGAAGGAGTGAAGTCTGTACCTCTACTGAAGTTCCAGAAAAGCCGGACTCCAAGGTGAAATAGGAAATTAAAAAGTTGCATAATGAATGAGTCGGAAGGATCAAGTGTCAATCAAGATTAAGTGACAGGCTGTCCTCCCTGGAAATACTAAATTTCTCAAGACCAGCCAGCTTGGAGGCAGTGCACACTTCTTCCAGATGTACCGCAGTGACACACGGTGACCCATCTGACCACCCGATGGGAGATTTCTCCCAACTCAGTCCAAACTCACAGGTTGTGTACTCTTGACAACAGACTGGCTGGCATCCACTGCATTGTTAAGTCTAGTGGGTTAAGAGGGGAAAAAGGCCAGGAATAAAAGGGAAGCTGTTTTTTGCACATTCACATTCTTGCCAAAAGATAAAATAGAACTTTTCCCCTTTTTCCAGTATTGAAAGATGTCTTCCACCCTTCCTGCCAGTTTCCCCCATCCCACCCCCAAAGAAGGCATCCTAGCAAGGGTGCTCTCAGATATTTGCTCCTTTTCTAATGTTTTCTGACTATAATAGTAGAGACATAGATTGCACAACATATCTGAGTCCATGTTCATCATTTGGTTGAAATAGCTTTTTGGGATTGAGGCTATGCTGTGTGTCTTACATTTTTTGAGTGTGAAACTACTGTATTCATCATTTTGTGGATCGAATTACCTCTCAGATTCTGAAAAAAGCAGGATCCTTGAGAGATTGAGAGTGGGATTATCTCAATCCCATAGGTACTAGAAAAGTGTAACCAGCAGCTACTGCAGGTAACTCTGTACCCTTGAACCTGAATGAGAGCCGTCTGGCTAAAGAGCAAAATAAAAAGTTGGATAAGAATGAAATCTAGATACTTCTGCTTTAATTTATAGAAACAAAAGTTTTCACTTGGGGACTGTAAATTCTTCCTGGAAATGCAGTAATAAGGGAGGATTTATTTTGTTCTAATTTACAGCTTTTTTTTTTTTTTACTTTTGGCTGGTATTATATTATTTAGAATATCATTTGGGCTCACTGCAAACTTTTGATGATCTATATTGCACAACACAGCTAAGCATAATGTGAGATGGTAAATAAGATAGAGTCAACATGGCCTTGTAGTGAATTTACTTAATATAATGCTCTGTCCCATATCAGAACCTTCTAGGGGGTCCAGTGGGGCACAGGATGGTACATAAAAGAGCAGGATTGGCATTTTCAGTGGCTTCATGAAGGTGTGATGGTGCTGATAAACTTCAGGTCTCCTCCTCCAAAAGAGCAGATAGATATACCCTTCGCTGAGCCAGGGTATATTTCATTGTGTGTTGAGAAAAACACCTTTTGAAAAAAACAACTTTGTTTTCCTGAGTTGCTGCCTCAGCATTCTAAAGTATGATAAACCTACCACACCCAGAATCTAGACATTTAGATAGGGACTTGAGTTTCAGATGTCCGTCCTAAATCCCCACTTTGCTTTTCCTGGGCACCTTTTAAAATAATCACTTAGAGGGAAGCCCTAAAAAAGTGAGTATCTTCTGTCCCAATAATCTTGTAAGTATAGCTTCTTGCTGTCCCATTCTCTTCTCTGTGACCTGGGTCAGAGGACTGCCCTTTCCTGGGCTCACAGGATGTTCCTGAGACCCTGGCTTCTGGGATTTGTAAATAATAAATCTTGTGATTCCATTTCCTTTATGTGGGTGTGTTGAAACTATGCCTTCAATCACAGTGAACCCATGGGTTTCACTTCCCCAAAGTTGGAGCTGGGATGCTGAGGGAGCTCCTTGCTGACCCCATGTGGGTAGCTTGTGTCCCCTCAGTGCTCTTTATTCAACTAACCAGCTCCCGCTTCTCCACATGCATTGTTAAGTCTAGTGGCTTAAGAGGGGAAAGAGGCCAGGAATAAAAGGGAAGCTGTTTTTTGCGCACCCACATTCTTGCCAAAAGATAAAATAGAACTTGTCCCCTTTTTTCAGTATTGAAAGATGTCTTCCACCCTTCCTGCCAGTTTCCCCCTCCCCACCCCCGAAGAAGGTTACAGATGTCTCCTTATCAAAATGTTTCTCAACACAGTCCCTTACCCTTGTTTGTGTTTCTTCGTAGCACTTATCACCAGGTCATAACTATTGACTTGTTTGTTTGTTGGCAGTCTCCTCCTCTGGAATGTAAGCACCATAAGGGCAGAGCTTGCTTTGTTCACTAACACAGGCCGATTGATAAGTAGATAGACTCTGCATGGTACCTGGCAGCCATTCAATAAATATTTGTTGAATCAATGAATGAATCAATGAATGAATGAGTGACTCTTCTGCTTGGTGAGATTGGAGAAAGGGACTTGTCTGTTATGAGTATCACAGCTCCCATGGGACCATCAGTCTCCCAGCTACCCTCAAACAAGAAGGGTATGGGGTTAAGGTGCAGTAAGCATCCCAGCTCAGGGCTTCTCTGTCTTACAACTTAGGGTGAAAGGTTAAAGAGCGGGGAGGGGCTGAGAAGGATGAGGAAACAGATGTTAGTCTAATTCTTGGATGGAAAAGTAGAAAGTTTTATTTTTCAATCCAGCTTTATCAGCAATAAAACTGATATTTTTATACCCATCTGTATTTGTTACTAGCTTCAAGCAGAAGAGGTGAAGGAGGGATGGAAAAATTCCACCATATTTATCAAACGTTGAAAACAGTAAGGCCAGTTGCAATAAAAAATGAATGCTAGACTGACTTTCATGGATAATAATGCACTGGTAATAATAAACTTAGATGTCATGCAGTAATACACTCCCATTATTTTGGTGGTAGCCCCAAACTGACAATGCATTCTAGGTCATCCATTTTAAAAGTAATGTGGTATATTTCATATCAAGCAAAATATCCACTGAATATCCCTATCTTGCATTTTATTTGCATCCAAAAACAGTATAAAAGTGTTTTTGTTACATAAACTAGTTGCTTAATAGAAGAGGTACAGCATTACTTAGTAATTTAGAGGATGTTTACAACTGTTTTGGTATGGATTTTTTTTTAAGAAAAAACACGGTGCAACTCTTCTTTCTATAGTCTTATCCATTATTCTCCAATTTGCTGTAAGCCCTATCCCACTCGCTTTCCTGTGGGGGCAAGCAAATTACTGTTCATTGGCATCATGGGAAATAGACATAGGCGATCTGTTTATCCCTGGATTTTCTGTTGTGGTATTCATTCATGAGTTTGGGGCTTTAATTTCTTGTGGGTATATCTACAGCACTAACTGCAGATTGAGAATCATACTTTCAAAACTGGGCGTAAGCAGCCAGTGATTCCAAAATCCTATATAAAAACATAACCATATTATGTTCTCATTCTCATTCATCCCTCCCTCCTTCCCTTTCTCTTTCCATTTTCCAAAGCACTTTCAGATACATAATAAATCTTATTACTGATTGTCATCTTAAGGCATAATTTGAATTTGTAATAGGGAGATAGAGCTATTACTCAGTCTGAAATTGCCCTGATGGTGCAATGGAAAGCCTAGGGCAGGGGACCCAAATGAAGTCTCGAAATGCACAAGCAGTTTGGCTTGAGATGAATTGCCTCTCCTTTCTTGGTAGGACCAGAGGAATACTTAAATCCCTTATAAATTCTGTTCCTGAGCAATTATTTCAAAGGACACAATGAGCTCACATGGATTTTATTTTCTGTCATTTTTTCCCTTTCTTCATTTAATTCTAGTGTGCCTTAAGGAGATTTTTTTAAGGTTACTTGATTCTAACCAGCAGTGACTGCTGGAAATGAAGTGAAAGCAAATAAAAACAAAAAACAAAAGAAAAAAAAAAGAATCACACAGGAGCAGGTGAAATGATTTTATCTAAGTTTGATTGTATACAGCCTGATGTTTGGAAATAGAAAAGCATTTCAAATACCTTATTTGAGATCCTAAGGAGGTGCTGTTTCAATTACTGTCAGCCTAAAGTTTATTTCTAGAGCCAAATGGTATCATATGAGAATTTGTGAATCTTATCCAAAATACATAAAAGTTTAGGTTAGAACAACACAAAGCTTGAATCTTAATCAGGATAGAAGGTGCTCACTTGGAAGAAAAATTCTTATTCTACAAAGTAGAGTTTTTCCCCCCAAACAAATCCATCTACTTTCTTCTAAACATATTCCACTAAATAGATGTATGTATCTATGGACAATTAAAATTAATTTAAATATGATTGATTTGGTTTGGTTTCAAGCAGTTTCATAATACTTGTCTTCTTGGAATAATAACAATAAAAACCTAAGCTGGCATCTTGACATTTTTACATTTCTCCAAAACTTGTAACACCTTCCCTTCCCACTACGTCCCCTTCCGCCAAAAAGGCTTTCAGTCAAAAGGTAACTTTCTGTTACAACCAGTGTGAGATTTATAGTCTCAAGCTGATTTATGTCATTTTGTTTGCATTTTCAGAGTTTACTTAATAAAAGTAAGTGGTCAATAAATATATTATAAAATAAAGCAGCCTATCTAATAACACTCAGTCAAATGCTGACAATATTCCTGGTCCATCATTTGTTATTTCCTAAATAAATAAAATAAAAATAAAATAAAATAAAATAAAATATAAAATAGGCACCTAGAATTGTCTATAAGGTCAGCAAAAAATAAACAATTGAATAGAACCATATATTTAAAAAGAAGGGCAGAAAGAAAAAAAAATACCTTTAGTATCTTGTTCAGGTTCACTTTCTTCTATTAATAGAAACAAGACAAAACAAACACACACAACAAACATACAAACAAAAACAACACATCATGAAAAGGGAAAATCTTTGACCACAGAAACATCAGTTGCACAACAAGATTAATTAGAATCTGCTTGTTTCTTATTTCAATAAGAAACAAGTGCAATCAAGGGAAATTCCTGATCTTTTCAAGCAAACTATTAAATGACATAAAATTTCAAATGACTACTTTTAGTCGGGCAGTACGACACAGATAATCAACTACAGCATACCCAACAGCATAGCTCATTCATGCATTTTTATTTGAATGTTGACAATCACCCTTTCTTTCAAGGCAACAGGCTGCCTACTATTCTGATAAATTGTGTTTTCCCTTTGTTAGCATGGCTTCTCCTTTTACAAGGTCCTGCTGTGAAGTCAGTGAGGTTGACTCTGGGATCTCAACTATCATTTCTATGGCAATAGACTCATGTTGTGGTAAACAGAGGATTAGGGGGTTTCTGCAGAACAGAGCCTACCACCAACAGAGATTCTCTCCTCTGTACCCACTCCCGAAGGCTGCTCCCAGAGCAGAGAGGAGCAAATCACTATCTTGCAGGAAACTACCAGTGAAGCAGGCTCCAAAGAAAAATGTAAAAATGTCTATGCGGTGTGTGCAGAATCGAGAATTTGTGATTTTTTTTTAAATCCTAGAAAAGAGACAACCATCAAATTGATTGTTCCAAAATGTTTAATATAATAACTATATCAGATGTAGATCCCACATGGAGCTCTGTTTCTCTTTCCTGAAAGTTTGTTTATGTCAATTTAGACCTTTCTTCAAATTAGTGACAAGCTGACTGCAGCATTTGTTTATAAGTATAAAATAGCGATGCTATTTTAACGACTTTGAATGCTAAGGATGTATTTGCATAGTTCTTCCCAGGTTATGGATATTTGCACACATTATCTCCTTTAACCCTGATCATATCCCTGTGATTAACATAACTGATATCATTCAGCCCATTCTCCAGACGAGGAATCTGAGATTCAGAGCCTTGCTGCAGGGTCAGAGCCAGAAATGCCCCTCCAGACATCAATTCTCCCTTCTAAGGTGCTTCATAGTAAGAAACCCTCATTTTTGCACTTAATACTCAACCCTCTTAAATGTAAGCGAACTTATAATTTCCCTTTTAAATTGTACTGACTAAATGTTCCCTATCTCCACCAACCAAGTCCGTGGCACATTCCTGTTTTATTTTTTGAAGGTCAAAGACTACATGAAAGTTGTTACATTTGAATACATGTATGGTTAAAAGGAGAGTTAGAAATGTACCTACACAAAGAAAATCATTTTTTACAACACCCCCAACAGTGCCTGGTATTTTTCATACTGAAAACTGGTCATGTGGACACTTGAAACTGCCGAGTTCCCCGGTTTCCAACACAGACATTAATCAGGAAAAATAACACGGAGGTCCATGTTTGGACCAGATTAGCCCAAATGAAAAATTGCATTTGGACGCCTTTAGGCTGGGCATGTTTTCCTAGCTCCCTAACGCAGTTGTACTTATTTCCAGATCTTACTATTTTTGTTTTCCATTAGCCAAGTAACTATCTATGAGTGACTGAGATGGGAATGGGACTCCTATGGGAATATTAAGTGTCTTCATTCCCTGGCTGCTGTTGTTGCCCCAATTTTTTCCACCCAAGTTAAAAGACCTCCGTACATTTTGAGAATCCTATTTCTTCGTTTTTTTAAAAAAATTATAATTTTTGTTTTTTCTCTTACAATATTCTTTTTTTTGGGTTCTGGAGCAAGTACAGGTACATTCTGAGTCTCCTTTTACTTTTGCTCCAGTGGTCTTTGACTGGACCACCCTTGAGAGTGTACCATGAAGACCGTGCTGACTTCCCTTTGCTACCTTTCACTTTGTACCTATTGTTATTACTGCTGTTCATTTTGCTTGATTTCTTTGGAATTGGGAGCAATGTGAAGTTTTGAAAGAATGCACCCATTTCCTCCACTGCAGATCTACAGAACCGACTCAAGAGATGAGAGATTGTCCAAGATCTGCCATTTTCCTAGGAGGAGGCCTCAAAGTTCTACCAGAAATTATATCTTCATATAGAGACTCTCAAAGTTTCTTTGCTAGGCACAAGTGCAGATATACAGCTCTGTACATATGTATTTACAGATGCTTATAGATTTATACACATGTATACCACATACACACACAGTTAAGATTACTTTAAATTAGAAAAAATGATGCAAGAATAATCTGTAAAACCTATTTAAACTTGAGTACACCCATTCGGTGTATTAGATTATTGGTCATTCTGAGTCAGTCTGTAGTTCTAGTTTTTTTCCACGTATCCTGCTTGCTTAGCCTATGATCCCTCTTGACTTCCGAACTTACTGTTTTACCACCTATCAACTTTTAAATATTTGGCTCTATGGTCTTTATTCCCATTTAATTGCTCTATGTGTTATGCATCAGTCTTATCTTCCAAACTGATGGGTAATCTCTGTTGGGGGGGTGGAGGCAGGGAGCAGTATAGCATATTTACTTTTGTTATGTTTCCTTTAACCCCTAAAGTTTGGCACAGTCTCTTATAGAAAAAAGAAGATACTTCAAAAAGGAGTTGGGTAGCAATTCATTTTCCTTTTCTACTGTCCTGGAATTGCTCAATAAGACATTTAAAAGAGATAATCTCTGTTGGAGTAATCTGAGATATAATCAACATCCGAGTTAAATGGTATCTGTATCGTTTTCTTGAATACTTTGATTTATGGGGAACTCAGTACTATCATAGCAACCTATTTAAAATACTGTTTAAAAAAAGGAATATATTTTAAATCAAACCAAAATCAGTCTCCTTATAATTACTACCCATAAAGCTTAGTTTCTACTCCTAACCACTGGACAAAAAAAAGAAGGCCTTCAAATATTTTCATTTTTCTAAGCTTGCTATAGCCCCAGTTTACCATGCTGATTGCTCACTTTTGAACTTTCTTACCTTCTTATCTTAATTTACCCCAGAACTAAAACTGACACACACATAGAGAGTCTCACAAAGTCACAGGATAGTAAGACTCTAATATTCTACTTCTATGACTAGAAATTTGCATACATTTTTATGTGCATTTATATAAAAATACAGTGAGGTCATATTCCATTGAGAATCATGAACACCTACCACTTGTTTTTATACTTGCTCTTCAATTTTGAATATGAGTGTTTGTGTGTGTGTGTGAGAATATGCTTTGATTCTAAGAAAGATAAATTAAGTTTTTCCTACTCAATTCACTGTATTAGTTGATTGGAGAAGAAATTTGGAGGGGGAAATGTATCATATAGGAAGAGGGAAAGCCATCAAAGTCCCTGGCTGAAATGAACTTATTTAGGAAGATCGTGTAGGTCACGTAGATTTTGTGGAGAGAAAGAAACAGACTAGAAGAGAAAACAGGCATAACTGTGGGATCTCTCCCATTCTTCAGACTGCAAGAGTTAGGAGAGCCAAGAAGATAACAGAGATCTGGCCACCTAGGCCAAAGTCTCAATGGAAGCTGTTCTTGCACATTCTTGCTCTTTGTAGGTTGGCATTGTTTATAATTTTCTTTGTAGGCAAAACCTTAAAGAAATCTCTGATCATCTGGTACTGTCAGGACACCATTCTAGGACTTTTTCATTTTTAAATGATTTGCACAAAGCAGTTAATATAGCAACTAACACATAGCTAGAAAGGACTGGAGGCTAATTTTGAAGCCAGATCTTCTAGCTCTTTCTTTCTTTCATTTATTTTTTTTTTTCAGAGCTATTTCTAGCCATGGTATCTTCCTGACTGATGAAAGCTGTTTCTCCAACTGCCTTTGAAGAGAGAGGGTTTATTTTATTTTTAAATTTCAGTCTGCCTTAGCAAGCTACATTCCAGATATTGATCGTGCTGAGTACCCCTTTTGTAGGTGTTGAAAGCGTACTTAAGTCCATTCCTCACTTATCTGAGAAGAGAGGCACCATTCTGTAGAAAGAGAAGTCCATTGTTCAGAGCTTATTATTAAAACATGGGTGCTAGATTATTTGAATCCATTCTTAAATAGGCTACATTTGTCTCATCTAGCATTGTATTTTAAGAGTTATTGCATTGAATAAATAAAATCTTTTTTAAAAAAAGGGATGCCTCGGTGGCTCAGCGGTTGAGCGCCTGCCTTTGGCTCAGGTCGTGATCCCAGGGTCCTGGGACCGAGTCCCGCATCAGGCTCCCTGCAGGGAGCCTGCTTCTCCCTCTGCCTGTGTCTCTGCTTCTCTCTGTGTCTCTCATGAATAAATAAATAAAATTTTCAAAAAATACTAATGCGTTGGAGATGCCTAGTAGAAGATAAGCACCACAGGCAGCAAAAAAGAGTCATTTTAGTTGTTTTATTATTTACTTGAAAAGAATTGGCTTAGAGGATTGTTGAAAAGTAATCATACTGAGACTCTGTGGTACTCTGTTTCTGAATACATTCTCCTTTTGTTTTCCAATCATTAGAAGAGCATGTGACGGGATCCCTGGGTGGCGCAGCGGTTTGGCGCCTGCCTTTGGCCCAGGGCGCGATCCTGTAGACCGGGATCGAATCCCACGTCGGGCTCCCGGTGCATGGAGCCTGCTTCTCTCTCTGCCTGTGTCTCTGCCTCTCTCTCTCTCTCTCTCTGTGTGTGTGTGTGGGTGTGTGTGACTATCATAAATAAATAAAAATTTAAAAAAAAGAAGAGCATGTGACAATAATAATAATAAACTTAAGTAAATACCTGGATTTTCTTTGCTGACTTCTTGGTAGCTAAAGCAAAGAAACCCGACCCTGGTGTGCTGCCACTGTTTACATTTCTGCTTCCTTTGAAGCAGAGCAATGCATGAGGTTTATCCACTGTGGCTCCATCTCTGAAGGAATCAGAATGCAAGCTCCTTTAGAAAATATACACAGCACCCTCACAAACAGCCTTCCTTCGCATCTTCAAAGTAAGGCTGGCCTGGCTCCGTGTCATC